CACCCCCCGCCCCCCCCCCCCCCCCCCCCCCCCCCCCCCCCCCCCCCCCCCCCCCCTATAGAATGTCGAATGACTATGCGTTGAGTTGAACAAAATGGGACTGTATTTCAAGTATACACTGTGCTATTGATGACCTGCACCTTTATATACCAGAGCTTTCCAAAAACTTGTTGCCATTCACTTGTCTCGTGGTACAGGCTATTCATGATAGAGTTAGAACACGCATTGGCTACTTATTGTTCTGGTGACCCTTTCGTTACACTCTGAAATCAATGAAGGGATAAACCTTGACCAATCACCTAGGCGACTAGCTATTAGAAACACCAGTGTAACCAAGTTTTGTAATTGTATAGGCTAGATACAGCATCAAATGAATGACTGTTTGCCGAGTTTCTGTCCTCCCTCCTCCCTTACTTCATCTACCTCCACAGGTAAAAGTAGTCGGAAGGTCTAGCTACTACGGGAGCAGCATAAACTTTGGTTGAGTTCAGGTTTGTGACCAAGAATTTTCCAGGAAAGCCGGTAACTATCATAAGGGGGGCTGCAGAGGCTTGTGTATAGAAGACGACCTTCTCCCATTGCTGCCTTGGCTAGCTGAATGGATACACGAAAAAGGTCATTTGCTGTAATCGACTATCTAAGTAAACTTCATGTACAGACCAAGTGACTGCATGTGGGCGTGTGTTGGTTACCGAGAACACAGCAATGTTTCATCCACTAGTAACGCACAATGCTTATTTGGAGTCACCATAGACTGGGAATATTGGCGGTATGTGTGTACCACCATGTAACTCTATTATGACTATGAGAAATGTACGATCTCATCTAGAGGTTGTATGTAGTTCATATCTTCTGGTCTCGGTAGAAAGCTCCGACTCAGCAACTAGTTGCGCTTGGGTAGCTTGTGAAATTCCCGTGTTCTTGTATTGCCATGGCTGCGGATAAGATTGTGAGAAATCAGTATCCGTCATAGTGCTGGGAGGATATGTACGCGAGTTGAGGTCATGTTGCTGCTTCACGGCCTCGTGCATTTTATGAACTCTCCAAAGCAGATACGCCAGCAACGCGGCAAGCAAAACTCCACCTGCTACACCAACCCCAATACCAATTTGGGCCCCTTTGCTAAGCCCGGAGTCGTTGTTTGAAGAATTTGACACTGTGCTTGCCGTAGATGACGAGGTAGTAGTTGTTGAGACCGATGAGCTTGATAGGCTCGGCGAGGTAGATGAGGCTGTGGCTGAAGCACCGGGAAGAACTTCATATTCACTTGCAGCCGGATTCCATGTGGCAATAAGCGATGTCGGATACGGTAAGACATCGAAACGACCATCCCCAGTGTCACAACAGTTATCAATGGCGTGATCGCAACAATATGAGATATGGTCTTTCGTGACATTGTTGCAAGGAATTAAATCTGTGCCTCCAAGCTTATAGTCTACACAATAGTATTCAGGTTAGTAACTATACTAGATACACTACTAGAAGGGCGTTTGATTTGTATAATATTGGCAATTGAGACTCACTCTGGCAATATTGTGGACAGGCTGGGTCGGTCCAAGACTGGTCGGTGCATGCGCCTCGAACCACCCTTCCTTTGCCATCTTGACACAGCAAGTTGTTGTAGCAAGTATAATCGTATTGAAAAGAACAGCAAAAGCTAACATCAGCGTCGGGATTGCAAGCAGACCAGCCTTCGGCTTCTGCACCATTTGGAAAATAACACTGCGAGGAGGCGTCAACCAGTGAGAAATGTATTGTTACCCACTGGTAAACAAGGATTCCCCAAAGGAGAGCCGGAGACATTATGTGTTGTCCTTGAGAAGGGGATTTCTGGGGAATTGAAGACGAGAGAAATTGATTCAAATGTCGAAAGCTGAATATCACCTAATAGTGAAGGGGGAGTGAGATATATACACGAAACCGTGCAATGGCCTTGCAGGGCCATCATTAGTCAAGCTTGCTGCAGGAAGCATCCTCTTGCATCCAACATGATAATAGGTGGCCAATGAGAAGAGAGGACATGGAGGCAGAGCGCCAAATAGGCCTACTCTGCATAGCCTCTTCAGGGGATGTTACGATGTGTAACCCTTTGTCTGCCTTTGCCAGCCCATTTGAACTTCGTCCGGCTTACTTGGCGTTCTGAAGCCGTTCCAAAGTTCAAATGGCTAACTAACACTGTTTTTTTTTTGCCAAAAGTCTGCGGATGAAAATGGGTCCTGACTGCCATTGAAGTTGATTTTTGAGCTTCATCCAGCAGCAACTGGTTTCTCGTTTTCCTTCATCATCTTTACATCGGTGTTAAAATCGCTGCCCAGCATATAAGCATTCTGATGATGATTCGAAAACGTATCTATTATGCGACGCTTAGTATGCTGATTTGTTCGTCTAAGATATACCTACAGTACCGCATTTCCTGAGGTTATACCTACCTACTTATCTACTATGTTTCGCAGCGCTTAGATAGCCCTTAGGGCAGCGGTTACGCTTTTAGCGCTTACCTACTTACAGTAGAAACCCGAACCCGCTAAGGTGAGCTAACCAGATTGGCAACAGGGGCTGATGACGGGACTGGCTGAAGCCTGAAGGGCGACCAGGTTGAACACAATACCTAGGTACCTGCGGTGTTCTGCAGGAAGAACCCTGACTGGCGCGTGTCGTGAACATGCTTGTACCAAAGTTCAAACTTGGAAGTATTCAACCCAAAGTACCAGTACCTCGAGGATCAGGCCGACAGAAGCTACCTGTACAATCCATTTCACAAGGACCCCCACCTAACCCCAACTCTGCCCCAACCAATCAGGTAATCTTATTTAGCTCCCCCACGGCTATCCCCAGCCACCAAGCCACAGTACATATACATGCATGTACTTCGTATGCGCACCTACTCTTGGCTTCCCGTTCGCGTTTTTTCGCAACCAAGTGCGCGCCATGCCCATGAATCAATCAAGTGAGACGACTTGCCGCTGTCCACTCCTCACCTGCTGTAGTATGTGTATCGTCCCGACGAGCATCGATTAAGTATCGCCTCTGCAGATAATCAGAGTCGCCAGTCTGCTATAGGACGCCGAAGAAGCATTGTCCCCTCACCGGTAAGACCCCCATGTGGTGAATCCCCTCTTGCAATCCGGCATCGCATGGTGATAGCTCACTTGTGGCCGTGTTATGCGCCTCACTACAGCCCAATGGCAATGGGCGAGATGAATTGATATCTACCATACCCTGCTTTGATTTTATCCCAACCCGCCCAAGCCCTCCCCGCTTCCGAGCAACCGCACAGAATATCGTCACCCACGCGATCAACAAGTTCCAATCTTGTTGCTCCTGCATTGTCCCATTCGTCCCCAGGCACCCCCAATTGTCCCACTGCCACCAATTTTCTTTGCGACATCCCATTCTTGCGCTGGGCTACTTGGCGCGTACATACGTCTTCACCCTTGGTCTCCTCGGTTCATCCCAACTCTACATCCCGAGGAAGCCTATATGTTTGTTCCCGCTAGTCGTCGGGTTTTGCGCCCCAGCCTCTCTTCATTCAAACCCGTCTTAATTGCGACTATGCGCAAAGTTACGCTTGCCGTTCTGACAACAAAAACCACAGGCACGGCAAACGTTACATACCTACCGAAGAGGGGTCTACATTTAGATTGTACCTACCTTTACCGACTTACCGCATCGGCAGCTTCAGACGGCACTGGTAGCCATGCTGTAAAGCCAGATGGGGAACAATACCAGTCTGCCCAAGGCGGAGGAGGGTTATGAAACGAACAACCACACCCTCGAACAAGAGCAAGACGAACCTCAACACCATCATCTTCCTAGCGACGACTTAACCTTCTCGAGCCAAATCAATAGCTCCATCGGCCCCGCTTTCCTCCCGCCGCAACGTCGCAATAAGGTCGAGTACTCGAGCTCACCTGCTTCGCGTCTACACAGCTCTCAAGCTCCAACGCCCATTCCAAAACGCAAAATGTCCAACTCGTCTCCATACCAGTCTTCGCCTGCTTTCAATTCATCAGGAGATCTTGCTGCCGAATCTGGCCAACACGAGAATTTCACACATCTATCAAAGAAGAAGAGGAAGAACAAGAAGCGACGAAGCTCAAATTCCCAACCATCCGATGAAAATTCACAAAATATAGCTCAGCAGCCGTCAACCGACCTCGGCTTTCAAGAAGAGCATGACCACTCCGAGATAATTGAGGATACCAATATGATAGACGCCGATATCTCTGCTAGCGCCCAGGCGCGGAGTCAGCACAAGAAAGCAAGAAAAGAGAGTAAGCGCGCAGCAAGGCTGGCGAAACAGCAGGCTGAAGCCACCTCTACTGTGGAGCCTGACCAACAAGAGGAGAGCCGTTTTCGGGATCTCTGGCTATCTCAAGAAGCTGATATTGCTGCGAAACGCGAACAGGAAGAGGAGGGAGATGAAGCCCACATAAGAGAGATCGCCAAGACTAACGGAACTATTGATCTCGTTGAGCCCGCTGAGCCTCAAGATACCGTGTTGAGAAAGCGCAAGAGGAATTCTCAGATTCAAACCGAGCATGAGTCACATCAAGCTTCCAAGAAGAAGCGCAAGAAGTCCTATTCTAAGACGGCAGACATAGCAGTAGAAAATAACGAATACCCTCAGAATGATACTGTTGAGCGACTGGAACCATCTCCTGACGGTGAGATCCACTTTGATGACCTGGCTGAGCAACTCTACTCTCGGCGTAAGAGAAGACAGCATCACGAGCCTATAGAGATCGAGTCGAAACCAGCCGCTGAAGCCCAGCCACAGTTTGAAGAACCCATCGAAGATATGGATACCTATCCCCGAATCGAGAGCGATTTAGTTGAAGCTGCAATAGTTCACAATACGGCTGACAGCGCGGTCGACAGCGAACTAGAGGAAGTGTACCGCGACGATGACATAGACGAAGACTATAGGGATGGAAATGCCGACAGTCACGCCGAAACCACTGCGGAAACACTAAATACACATCACGGGATCACTACACGCAGACACAACGCTTTTCTCGGGGCTTCTCAGGAGCCAAGCAATACTGTTCGCAGTGCAGAGTTCGTTACTGGTGTTTTGCAAGGCGAACTACCTGATCATCAACAAGGGAATGGGACAGTTCTGAACGGAAGGGTTGCGCCGAGTGATAATCGTGCTTTAATTTATGATATTGAAGTACCGTCCTCACTGCCACTCCCGACTGGTACTGGCGACTCTGGCACAAAAGGGTCTAAGCGCCGTGCAAGCATTAAGACTAGTACTGGACGGAAGCGTGTCGTGAAGCCAGACTTTTTCAGCCGCCTGGTAGAAGAAGACATTGGCGATGACACTGACTCTCAATCGCCTTCTACTGCCGCAAGGTCACGCAAGATTGATAAAGGCAAAGGCAAACAGATAGCTGCTTCGGAGGACGAGGGACAAGCCGGCCCGTCTAGTGTCAACGGGAAGTCTAGGCCGCCTAAGATCTCAAGCATGCTCACTGATGGACCGTATTCCGATGCCGATGGTATTGCTGTGACGCCATCAAACAACAGCGTTATTCGTTTGCGATGGCCTAAGTCTCCGGCCACGTTGTCTGGAGCCTTCACTGACTTCGAAATCCGCAATCTTAGCCAAGCTATTGAGCGATTTAGGGATGACCATGGGATGACTCAGCACCAAGTCAATGAATTAATCCATGGCAATCCGAAAGAACCCAGGGCGGGTGATTTATGGGAGAATATCACAGCAACCTGCCCTGGCCGAAGTCGACAGAAGGTTATCAATCAAACTCGACGTAAATTCCACAACTTTGTGGCACGTGGGACATGGACCGCAGAGCAAGAGCAAGAACTCAGGGAAATGTATGAACAGTACGGAAACAAATACGCTCAGATAGGTCACTTCATCAATCGTCATCCTGAGGATGTCCGGGACCGTATTAGAAACTATATCATCTGTGGAGATAAGCTGAAAAAGGACCAATGGAGTCAGGAGGAATCCGACAGGCTTGTGGCTATCGTTGAACAAGCTATTGAAGAGATACGTAAACAGCGGGCTCGGCGAGGTATGGACGATAGTCGGCCAGTTGAGGAAGATATCAATTGGCAATTAGTGAGTCAAGGCATGGACAGAACGCGTAGTCGCATTCAATGTATAGCCAAATGGAAGGCTATCAAACCTCAACTCGCAGGTGGCGGCTTAGATGGAGAGGCTATGCCCATCGATCAAATCATACAGCAAGCTCGCGAAACAGCCACTACCATGTCTTACCGCAATCGCTCTCTCATTATCAAGGAAATCCTCAAATCCGGCGCTAATGCGGATAGCCGCATTCCATGGCTCAGGCTGCGCAATGAGTTAGGCGGTCAATGGACTAGGCCCCCTCTCATGGTGGTCTGGTTTCGGCTACGGAGAACTCTGCCTAATTGGCAGAGCCTGAATGTGAAGGAGACGTGCACGCTCCTCATGCAAAAATTTCAACATACTCATAAGCTCGAGTATTCTAATGGGGAGGAGAATGCCCTTGATTTCGATATTGAGTATCGTGAGATTGAGTATAGAATTAGGAAGGGCCGGAAAACCAATCTAACGCCTAAAAGTGCGGCGTTCATAAGCAACGCCAGTGGCGACGAGGATAATGAGGCGGCAGAAGACGTGGAAGAGGGTATGGTTGGTGACCAGCTTGACGCATCCAACGATGAGGGAGCCGAACAATCCGAGACCAAGGCATCACGTGAAAATCGCCATAGTAGCGTTGATCTGAGTGTTGGCGTCAAGGAGCGAGAAGTGGCAGACTCCGAACCCGAAACTCAGACTCGAAGCCGCCCCCGCCGGCGCCGTGGTCAATCAGGAGGTCGTCGATTCAAGTTACAAGATTTCCAACAAGATGATATCGATGACCAGAGCAGCGACACAAATGCCAGCCAGGTTTCAAGTATTCTTGCTCGTTGATCAATATGCTGCCCCCTGCTAGGAGTTTACAGGCGTCTGGATGTTTGTTACGATTAGCTTAATGTTGCTTTTATGTGTTGAAAAAAACAGACTGCACTATCCCTACGTGTCTACGGTTTTGAGAGATGGAGATGCGATGCCCACGATAGGGCAGTACCTCCACGCTGGATAGGTCGGTAAGCCGCACATTTCATCCCCTAAGCGAGAGAAGAGTTACCATGTACGATCGCTCTAGGCAAAACGTATCATGTCACAAATACATTGTTGGGGTGACACGTTGGTTCATCGGACTAGGCTGATGTTGTCTTACACTATAACCACTATGATGGTAGTCGAAGCTACCTGCGTCCTTTACCCTGTATATTTGTTGGCTTCCATTGCTATATATGTTTGTCATGAGATTATATCCAATGCACAGCTTGGACATGAAGCCCAAAAGACCGTCTGAATACCGTGATTCGATATTGTCAGTGTCAATAATGTGACCGTATCATCCTCGATCTCCGCCCATCATGGGTGTCTCCGTGGATTGGTTTGTTTCTTCTAAACTCGTGTATACAAAATGTTTATATTGGCCGTGAATCGGGTTAATAAAGTTGAAGAGTAGATGAAGCAAATAAAGGAAACTAACTCATTACCTCTACAGTACATTCATCTCAGCACTCTTCATTACCTAAGCTACAATCCTTCTTTTGATACATGACCCGGTAATTTCTATTTACTACCGTACACTGACTAGGTACCAACATCTTGGGTTGCTTATAAATGCAACAACGAAGTTTTTCGGCAAAATCTTTACAATACTTACATGTACGCAGCTCATTGCGATCTCGCCTCACCTTAGGGTCGGTAGTGCGGTGGGAAGCCCGGAGCCGCCAACTCCTTCCGGTAAGAGCTCCCGCGTTCGCGCAGCGCTACCGTATCAGCAACAACCTATTAGGAGGCATTGTATGTTGAAGATTGCCAGTTCTACATACTTTATATGGGGGATATTTCCCCGGAGAAAAGACTGACTTTGCATGCGTCAGTACCTCCTCACCCTTTTTTCCCTTTTTTACTGTTACGTACGATGCACTAAGGATGTGCCGAGGTACGATTTTGCGTAGGAGGTGTAATCGATGCAACTTTCGGCCTCGGTACAGGCCTTTTGCGATTATCTTTGAGAGCTAGCTAGTAATAGTCTGACGACGCACCTGGGTTACGTGATTCGCATTCATGCCTTTCATTATAAATCAATCGCATGACTGCTTCCCTCGGACTGTAAATGTAGGCATGTAGATAGGGTTGTTACGTGTGCATCCCTGCGACGCTAGCTCCGATGCGGGCCGTCTTGGTTTACCGTTTCGAAATAGATGGCCGAATGACACGATTTTCTTTGAGCTTGGGTGGATTGCGTTTTTTCCCTCTGAGCGCGAGTCGTCCATGACGTATATATAGCGTGGTGGTCCTCGTTTTTTTTGTATGATGCTACCTCATGATTTCGTTAGAACTTTGACAAGTTATCTATCTATACCCAGACCTATTCAATCTCTTTTCTTTTACCCTTGAACTGTAAGGAGCTTTCTTATAACCTCCGTAGTTTCGGAAAATTGAGTTCACATTGCTGATTTCTGCCTCGTACATACAGAGCAAATTAGAGAAAATCAATATGGCTCGCGAAAACAAGAAATTCGTCCTCGCTCAGCGACCCAAGACGCACGTCGTCCCCGGCGAGACCTTCAGACTCGAGAAGGAGCCTGCTCCTACGGCTGACGAACTCAAGGATGGCCAAGTCCTTTTGGAGGTCTTGTATTTGTCCCTCGACCCTGCCATGCGGGGATGGTTAAACGGTGTGTGACAGTTGCGCCTTTTTTACGAAATCTATTGTTTCACTAGGGTTGAAAAGCTAGTAGATGAAAGTGATAGGCTTTTTGCCAATTCGAGGATGGAATTGTCGAATTGAGAATGTTAGCTAACTCTTTCATCTTGAATATCAGATACCCGGTCGTACTTACCGCCTGTTCAAATCGGCGAGACTATGCGCGGCGGTACTCTTTCCCGCGTGGTTGCCAGCAAGAGTCCCAAGGCCAAGGAAGGCGAGATCGTCAACGCTAGTATCGGCTGGACCGAGTACAAGATCGTGAGCGATAAGGAGTTTGAGAAGCTTGAGATTCCTGAGGGCGGCCAGATCACCGATCTCCTCGGTGTTTTAGGTACGTGCATTCGTTTAGTTCGTCATCTCACTTCATGCGCTGCTGCTTTCGTGGGGAGGACGGGGACAATACTGAGGCACGCTTTGCACGCTTACACCTTTGAGGGTTCATGTGATTCGCAATGCCGATTGCATAGCATAACTAGCATGATGAGGGCACTAATTGGTATCTTTCACAGGACTGACTGGCTTGACTGCTTATTTCGGTCTTGACAAGATCGGAAAACCGAAGGCTGGTGAAACTGTCGTCGTATCGGGCGCTGCGGGTGCTACAGGTTCTGTTGTCGGACAGATTGCGAAACTGCGCGGATGCAGAGTCGTCGGAATCGCCGGCTCAGACGACAAGTGCGTATGGTTGAAAGAGGAGCTGGGCTTTGACGCGGCGCTAAACTACAAGAGCGAGAACTTCAAAAAGGAGTTTGCGGAGGCGACGCCTGACTACGTCGACGTCTACTGGGACAACGTAGGCGGCGAGATCCTCGAGATAGCTCTCGGCCGCGCCCAGAAGCACTCGCGCTTTGTCATGTGTGGTGCCATCTCGGGATACAACGAGTCTGGAAAGGAGACGAAGGGCATTCGGAACCTCTTCCACGTGATAGCCCAGCGCATTCACATGGAAGGTTTCATCGTCTTCGACTTTTTGGGCGAATTCCCGCGCGCCCGCAAGGAGATCGGCGAGTGGCTGGCCGAGGGCAAGCTCAAGCGCAAGGAAACCATCGTCAAGGGCGGCATCGAGAAGGCGGAATATGCCATCAAGGACCTGTTTGAGGGCAAGAACACGGGCAAGCTGCTTCTCGAGGTCAAGTCACCGAACGAGGTACGTGGTGCGAGGCTGTAAACAATTTGCGTGCTTTGTCTTTGGTGTTTGTGGTTGGCGTTGCGCTGGACATGGAGAGCACGTGTAGTTGGCTAACTGTCTTATAGAAGTAAGCGAAGATTATGAAGATTATGAAGTTTTTAGGAATGAGAATCTAATACTAAATAACATGACTGTCTTAGACCATATGAACCCCCGACCCTTGTTAATAGAGTGTATGGAGGGTGCCTGATGCCCGTGATGTCTTCTAGTATCCTCCAACGAAGGTATACCCAGAGTGACTGACGCCAAGCACAAGCAGGGGTAAATCAAGTTACTGTAATTTCTTCAAGAATACCTACCCACGTTACCTAGGTATCTCGACGTACGCGGGGTAAGCATATCTACAGACGACCTGCTTCTCGCGGATAAGCTTCTTTTCATCTCGTGGCCGACGTTGTGTCAATAAGGATCACCTCATTTGCCGTCCTTCGCGTTGCTTTATGCGCACTTATGCAGGAACGCGAATAATAGATAATTATCTGAAGCCAATGACGATGCGATTCTCAGCCAGCCGAGCCAGCATCGCTGTTTGGCGCCGTTGATCCCTGCTGATTGATACCGAAGTACCGTATGTAGGTGACACCACCGCCGGTGAGTTACATACAGTAGGTTAGGTACTTACTTCAGTAGGAACCTAGCGTAGGTACTATGTAGGCGTCCTAGCGCTCACAACATACCACCGCTACATGCCCGCTACACACCCGCTACATCCCATGGGGAAATGACATCGGAGGCCATGAGAGCAAACGACAACGCTTTAGAATGTTGTTCCAGAAGACATGCTATCTCTATCTACATCCTGCCTGAGGGAGAGGGATAACAATACCTATGCAAGATCGGGAACTGGAGCAGAGCCTTCTTTGTGTTACTTCGTAGGTCAGTGAGTATAATATTGACCAGAAGGCGAACCGCAGATCGCGTGGGGTACGGGACTCAATATTGCCGAATGCAACGTTAAGCCAGGTGCTTTCTTTCTCTTGCATCTTCCCACTTGGTCCTGGCAGATCCTGGCTATCACGCCGACAACTTCCCCAACTTTGCAGAATCACAATGCAGACACACAACGATGGTGTAGAGGCGTCCGCCAGGAACGGAAGGTTCATCGACTCGGAAATGCACGCGACACGGCCCATGACAGGCACAACCCTCGGTGCCCTCGGGGCGAAAGAAGGCAAGACAGCGTCAACTCTGTTCCCTACCTACTTCGTACCCCAGGCCACCGTCCTCGATGGGACGACATGACTTCACTGCTGCAGCTTATCACGATCGACAGGGCCTCATCGTCCACACTAGACCATTTACCTACGCCAGTGCTACTTAACTGCATGGATGTCCAGCAAGCAAGCAACTCTTTATACTGACACTGCACTCGCTACTACACGACATAGGTACGGTAGTCTTCTCGTCTCGTACAGTACGTGGCCATCGGCAGTTTACAGTACTGTATATAGTGCGTGCCATTCTCGTCTCAGTACGCGTCTCCACTAGATCGAGACATCCCGCAAGCCGGAATGCGTCTGTTGTAACCATGGTTATCGCTGTGGACGATTAGACCCTCTATATAATAGGGTCGTATATCTGCCGGCTGCTGCTATCGTGGCCCATCGCTCGTTCTTTTCATCCATCTGCCGATTGGATGCCCTCATCATGTACCTGTTTCATTCTCGGTTCACTTCACTCTTACTGGTCACGCCAGCCATTCTGAAGGCTGGTGCCGCTGAGTTCGACCCTCTTCAGTATGTCGATCAGCTGATCGGAACCCGGAATGGAGGTAATGTGTTCGCGGGTGCGACCCTACCCTACGGGCTGGCAAAAGCCGTTGCCGACACCAACTCCGGAAGTAACCAAGGCGGCTTCACCCTCGACGGCACTCCGATCCTTGGTTTCTCGGCCCTGCACGACTCCGGGACGGGCGGTGAACCGTCCCTTGGAAACTTTCCCTTGTTCCCTTATGCCGCTTGCCCAGGCGACGACATTAACTTATGTGTCTACTCCAAGAGGACTCGCATAGCTTATGGGGCCTTCAACCGGGATTCCGTGGTGGCACGCCCCGGTTTCTTCTCTGTTACCCTGAACACGGGAATTAAGGCAGAGATGACAACCTCTCAGCGCACTGCCCTATTCCGTTTCACTTTTCCAACAGCCACAAATGGTGCTCACCCTCTTCTTCTACAAGATTTGAGTGACCTTCACAATTCTCGCCAGGATAACGCTAGCATATCTGTTGATCCTGAAACTGGAAGGATCAAGGGACAGGCACTCTTCGTGTCTAGTTTTGCCCAGGGACAGTACCTCTCCTATTTCTGCACTGATTTTTCCGGATCAGAGATTCTCGACAACGGGATTTTTGTGGATAGTCGGGCGAGTACGGATGTCAAGAACTGTATGCTACCCCTGAATTTGCTCTCTTCCTATTCTGGACACTCGCGGAGCCCTTAATTGCCTATTAGGGCCCCAAGCATGTCCTAGGAGTACACATGCCGCCCGAAACCTGTTCCCTATTCAAGTAAAAGTGTAACTACTAACTCCAGCGAACGGTAGTGACAATCTCGCGGTCCATAAATGGGTTTCCTCTGCCGGGGGGCGCCTTTGTGAGATTCGCCTCCCCCGCAGCCCCTGTCATTGCACGGGTAGGCCTGAGCTTCATTAGCTCGGACCAGGCTTGCGCCAACGCGGAGGCAGAAATCCCAAGTTTTGACTTCGACGCAATTGAAACTGCTGCCACTAATGCTTGGCGGGAGAAGCTTAGTCCGATTGTTGTCTCGACTGGCGGTGGGGTTGACCCAAAGCAGGTCACGAATCTTTATAGCGGGATTTATAGAACTATGGTGAACCCACAGAACTACACGGGGGAAAACCCTCATTGGGAAACTGGGGAGCCATACTTCGATTCATTCTATTGGTAAGTTGCCGTCACGGTAATATGCTCTGAAGAGTATCGCTCACATGAAATGGAATAGCCTGTGGGATAGTTTCCGGTCCCAGATCCCTTTCTTGACAATCCTTGACCCTTCTACAGTTGAGCAAATGATTCGTTCCTTGATCGACACTTACAGACATGAAGGCTGGTTGCCTGACTGCCATATGAGCTTATCAAAAGGCTACACACAGGTAAGAAAATCTTCAATTAGTCGTTGATCCTTACATGCTGAAATTCCTAGGGCGGATCCAATGCCGATGTCATCCTAGCCGACGGCTATCTGAAGGGCCTAGCTGGCGGCATTGATGTGAGTAGTAAGCCCTATCTCATGTGAGGTGGTAACTTACCCTAGATAGTGGGATGTCGGATACGAGGCAGTGGTGAAAGATGCAGAGGTTGAACCTTTTGACTGGTGTTGCCACGGCCGAGGTGGCATTGACAGCTGGAAATCCCTTGGCTACATTCCAGTTCAAGACTTCGACTATAAGGGATTTGGCACTTTAACACGCAGTCTTTCTCGAACGCTGGAATACAGCTATAATGACTTTACCATCGCACAGATGGCCAAAGCAATGAACAAGACCACCGACGCGGAGAAGTACCTCGACTCGAGCGACAACTGGCGAAACTTGTATAAAGAGAATCAAACATCAAATTTATTTTCGGGTGCCGATACTGGCTTTGTTGGCTTCTTTCAAGTGAGTGATTCTCGAAGTCGTCCTATTTCGGCGATCTTGACAGCCTATTTGCGTCCAGAGCATTACCTCCGAAGCTATGTTCAAGTCTTGGAACCCCACCAAGCTCTTGAATCCTTCGTCTGTTAGACTACTATTAGCAGCCACTAACCATATTGACAGCCAAAATATCTAAACAGAACTTGGGGCTTTCAAAACCCATTGAAGTGCAGTAATATTGACAACACTGGCTCCGTCTGTTCACTACAGAACACAGGAGCTGAGACTTTTGAGAGTAGTATTTGGGAATATGGCTTTTACGTACCTCACGACCAAGCCTCACTTGTCACCCTCTACGGCGGTCCAAGCAATTTTGTCAAACGGCTAGACTACCTCCATGACACTAACATTACCTATATCGGAAACGAGCCTGCTTTCTTGACCGTATTCCAATATCACTATGCTGGACGGCCGGCTTTGTCCGCTAAGCGCAGCCATTTTTATATTCCCAGGTTCTTCGATACAACCCCCCAGGGACTTCCTGGAAATGATGATAGCGGCGCAATGGGATCTTTTGTTGCTTTCTCCATGATCGGGCTGTTTCCGAATCCCGGACAAGACGTCTATCTCATCACCCCTCCATTCTTCGAGAGCGTTAATATCACGAGCCCTGTAACAGGCAAGACCGCAACCGTTCGGGCGGTCAACTTCGACCCGACGTACCAGGCGATTTATATCCAGAGCGCTACTCTCAACGGCGAACCGTACACGAAGAATTGGATTGATCACAGCTTCTTCACTGAAGGTAAGGAGCTTGTACTGACACTTGGCAAAAACGAGAGCTCGTGGGGCACCGCTGTGAAGGACCTACCCCCGAGTGTGGGCGAGTATGTCGGCTTTAACGGTACGACTTCAAAAACGCTACCGCATAGCTTACGATACCCAACCGATTTTGGACGGACCGGACTAGGGTTTTGACAGTGAGAGAATAAATATTATGAAGGTAACGGGTCTTGTAAATGTTAAGAGGCATCGTTAAAGATATATAATGACGTTCATACGCTTAACAGCAATCAATTGGGCTGTTTTCTATTCGCCTAGACATCTTATTCGAGTTACTTATGTGGTAGTGATGGGAAAGATTTCTTTCCTGTAATAGACCACCTGTCAATCCTAATTACCTACCTCAGGCCTGTGTAGCCTGTGATGCTGTTGCTTCCCCCCAGAAACTTTAATCACAGCATGTCCTCCATCATAGACTATACTATAACGTACCGGGTTATATGTTGGCCCCTACATTACACCTGTGTGTAGTTTACAATTGAAGTGTTGCTTGAAGTCTCATGCTGGAATGTAACGATCTCGCAGGTGAGAATCCAATATATGGGGGGTTACCAAGGACGCTTGTTGTTGCGCAAGGGGCCCTAATTGACTAATAGCTATAGGGTAATACAGAGTTTTAGTTAGATAGCACGCTTGTTGACAGAAGTTCCTCTGGGAGTATTGACATTCTTTAATGATCCCGAACGTTTTTGGCGCTTGCGGCATTGCTACCCTTGGCGTGACAAGGGTTTCTTGCAGTCTAGAGACGTTATTAGTCGCGAGACTGGCATATCCGATATGCTCAGATCCAACGAACGGTGCCAGCGAGGAAGCGATCGGTTTTTTTTTTCTAAGTAAGGGTGTCGTACCGTACCGTACCGTACCGGGCTTAAGTAAGTATAGAAGTCAGAATGTATATCCCCGCGCCGCAGCTGTACATGGATGTATTGGAACGCCACCATGATCGCCCTCACTTGTCGTGCAACTTGTATTAACCACCTATTTATATCCCCCCTCCCCTCCCCCTCCTCCAATACCTGTCTTAAGCCAAAGATGATGCGCTAGGTAGGCACCGTTTTTTTCTTCGCCTGTACATTCCTCATCCGTGCTGTTCGAGTCTGCACGTGTATCTAGATCTGGCAGGTTTGACGCACAATACGTGACATACTATGTAGCCCAGGCAGTATAAAGCCATGTATACTCAGGTATCGAGATAGTCTATACTATACACAGCAGATCGTCTTCCGCATATACCCGTGGTTGCGGTAGCGAACCCAGGCATCATTGGTAGCATATGGTGGTGCAGGTAGCCCATGTAGACGTAGCTACGTAGCGTGACATCCATCTGAGCTTTATCTATCGTCTAATTGTACATGTCGCGGCCACCCCCACGGTCAATGCTGTAGCGTTGGAAGCCGGCGTGCTCACCGGTGCGGGTACCTCTGTTGGAATTGGTATGGTATTGATGCGTGGCAGAGCACAGCACAGCACAGCGCAGCATGGCACCACGGTACCCCAGGACGCACGTATCAGGATCTATATGAACTGTATGTATGTGTGTGCTACTTCGATATACGCATACCGTGGTGTGCCGGTATACCTAGGTGTGCGATCCTCATGGGCGAGACGTCAGCCAACCAGCCCCTGCAGCCCACCCCTCGTCTGGACCTAGATTCCTTCGGTCTTGATCCGGTCCTAGTACCTAGATCTGATGAACATTTCATCCGGGCAGGAACTTACCGCCTCGACTATCCTCTGTTTCTACCAATAGAGACAGCCCTTGGGCAGGAGCATGAAAAAAGCCTTGGCCGCCAGGGACTGCCTGGCCCCAGCCATGTGGATAAGGTGGCATACAGCCAGCCGTACGCTTGCCGGTTGAGCCAAATATCACTAATCATGTAATAAGTACGGGCTTATTGACGTTACTCTTTCCGACAGATCGTCGTCGGATTCAGGGACGAGATAGGTAAGTGAATCGCGGTAACGAATGATCAGACTTGCATATGCCAGCTTTGTATGTTAGAAAGGTGGGTATTGTATGCCGTCCAGTTCACATGCATATGCGGCTCACCGTATGCCCTCCTCACCGTCGACGCTGCAGGGAAATGATCGTATCGAATGTTGCGGTGAGTTAACTTGAATCTCTATGTGCACAGCCGCAAATTCAGTCTGCGGGCTGATAACTCAAGATGAGTATCTGATTTTCCGGATAGCCGTTGAAATGTCTTGCGCGCTCATTGTCAACTAGGCACGTGTGATGCCTAGTTCGCTTCATTTTCAATGCATTTGGCTAATCGCATCTCGAATGAGTGCCATGGCAGGAAATAAATTCATGTTCTGTTGATTCAGGATATATCTATAATCCCACTTGATACCAGCAGGGATCTATACGTGACCTGCGATTGGCTACCTTGTCATTATTCTTTCACATACCTATTATACGCCGTATAGACTGGCCAACTTTGCAGTATCATCTTTGCCATTTGATGTTACTAGGCAGTCGGTACGCGTATAAATCTCCTCTCTATGCCGTATCATCCACCGATAGAAATGTGGACGCACTCTATCGGCGCCACTACCAGCACTAGAACATTCCTTGGCCCATCTTCAGTGCCTACTACTGGTATAAGTGAGGAGTGGCGCGAAACCGGTCAGAAGTTTGTTCGTTGCTCTTTGCTCCATGGTGTGATACGCAAACGTTTACATCAACCGATGGCCCCCGCGTCTTCATAGCAGCCGGCCATTGTGTCATACTGTATATAGTCTCTTACTTAGGCTGCATCTGAACCATTCATCAGACTTGCGATGCTTCGAGCCAATGAGTGCCAGCAGCTTGTCTCGGCTTCCTCAGCTTACGGCAGATCTGACAGGACGCTAATGCCACATGTACCAGGCCCCGACAACACCGTTAAGCTCACATTCCCCCACATCCTCTACCTCACCGTCTACCTGGTAAGTAGCCGGGTTGGCACATACTAAGCATGTATATAATAACTGGTGTCTCACTGCATGCCAGACGAATTTGGAGAAGAATGGCATACTTCGTAGTTAGCACAGTGTGCCCTGTTCCATCAACGTTACATCAGAGAGGAAAGGCCCATTGGAAGTATGATTAGGTACCGGGGCGAGGGGGTAACTGTGTCCCCCTGTGAGATAATGCGCGAGATAGATACAACGTGCGCACGTCTGATTCGGTAGCGGGGTTCGCAATCGATTCATGCGATTATGTAACCTCGAGATCGAGATGCGAATGACCGAGTTGGGGACTGTAGAGATGCCCAATCTGCCCGGCAATACCCGTGTTGTGTATCTGCATGTTCACATTGTCTTATGTCAAGCACGGGACAATGAAAATGTCTCAATGGGCTTTCGGGATGTCTGATCACCTTGGCGTGCTGCTCGCAAGGTTGAGCTGCGAGCCTGACGAGGGAAACCGTTTCGACATAATGTGGCCTGCTCCAGAGTGTCAAACGCGTTAGCTCCAGTCATTTGTCGCATGGGGCCTTGATATATATATATAAATTATCACGTTTTATATTACGCGAAAGACCACCCCTGTCGGCTCCAGCCATCCAAGTGGACTCGATTTTGATACGCGGAGAAGAGAGATGTGGCATGCTCGCTTCATGAGCAACCCTGCACGAGCTCCCCCAGGTCCCGGGACGACGAATCTCTCGTCGCCGCAAGCTTGAACCTGCAGCTGTTCGGTCCACCCAAAGACTGATGAAATGACGGTCCGGGTTGGGATTGATCAAAGGCAAAGGTTATAGAAATCACCCATCCCGCACAATGCCGACAGCCTGCAGCTGAGGGATGTTACCTACGCCACTCCCCGGATTTAGCCGTCGGAAATAATCCTGGGTGGCGTATTATTGTACCGAAGAAAAAGAAAAAGAGGCACACGCATCCCGCTCAAACTACACAAGCGATCCTATAAGACCGCGCCGATGATGGCCTGACACTTGCAGCCTTCAACAATCTCCAGACATGGGATTTCGATGCTGGGAATAACCCCCCTGGGATGCGGGGGGTTGCTGGTCGGATGAGTTCTCCCTTGACACCGCTGGCGAATGGGCGGTGCGGGTTCGTTATCAACGGGAGGGTTGAAGGAAGGATGGAGGTAGAAAGCAGGTAACGACATGGTCAAGGGGGGCCGATCGATACGCGGCATGCAGTTACTGTTGAACACACGCAACCCTCGGAAGGTTAGGCGCTCACTTGGAGATCTATACTACCTACTTAGTAGGCCGTCGCATGCCTGCCTCCGTCGCATGGGATTGCAATCCTAACATGATGATCGACTTCGCGGATGTCTCCCGGCAGCCAGACATGAGGCTCTGCACCCGGGATGGCTACCGCATACGGTCATCACAAGGATGTGCGATCCGTCTGTGTAGTGATAACATATTTGGAGCTGCCACAAGGAGGCGTTACTGTTGATGAGCGCTACCCATCCAAAGCCTGTAAGTTTGTTACTGTACCCACGGCATGTAACCATCCAAAACTTGACAAGGAACCCAACCTGAACCCCCAAGTACACCAGTCGAGTGAGTCTTGGTCACCGCCATAAAAGTCTAATAGTGAGAAAAACATGTCTAAGATGATCAGTCATAATGAGACGTGGCGATTGTCCGATATCCGTAGTTGTAATGACCAGACCGAAGTGACTGATAAGCACCGCTAAGAAGAATGGAAGATAGCCGAACTGGACCAATGCAAGCCCGGTTGAGATATCACAGCTCAGTCGCTCGTTCAGCGATGCGCTTATAAGCCACATCGGACCAAGATGCCCGTATGAAACCAATTTTCAGAAGTACAACGCTCTGAGACAATATTATCCCGATGAAATGTTTGAAAAAGTTTTCGATTCGCTGCCAGTGGCGGTCACCGCCTCTGGGGTGAATCAGCTCGGGAATGTTGAATCTTAAAGGGCGCCCTCAGATTTGTTTAACCTACATTTCATGGTATCCATTTATATTCACGTGAAAAACTGACATGCTGACTAATGTGAATTTGAGCGCGAAATTCATACTTGTTTCCAGACTTTTTTTTTTAAGTCAAGTAGGTGTAATTTGTCATACGCCATTCACAATAATAAGAGCAGTCATTTAAAGTGTTCGAGGTCGAATAACCCTCAAGTTCCTTTACTCAGTTTTAATTTTACCTGGTAGCCTGGAAATACACAGAACTGAGGAGTTGAGTGCGGTGTATTCAATGAGATTTTAATAATGAGTATGGATGTGTTGGGATACAGTGCAATTTCCGTTTAAGATAGACAAGGAAGGAATCGTTTTCTAGTGCTTAATGACAAGGGGATGAAATTCATACAAAACCTAGTAGTTCAAACAGACTCCAATTAGCTATTGTACACTTGAAAAGTTGTTAGAGCTATGTGATTTTAGCTGTTATGTTTTACTTAATATTCTAGAGGGAAATATAGCATACAAATTTCATCTAGTCCAATACCGGACTTATAACAAATTTGTGCTGTGTAGTGTTCCATATAATCGTCGTGAAGCTACATCTGAATGTAAAATATCATGTATATATAACACTTCTGTCGGGAGCTCCCAGATAGTCTTATTGAGACCCTGGGGCAGCATGCGATAGAGAGATAGTCGAGATATTGGCCACGATATTTCCGAGCTTTTCAAAACAAAGGATCGCTATCGATTGCATTGCAGTCGATACTTGAAAAGGTACCAGGCTCATCATTATTTCTGAACCAATACCTCATGTCCCTTGAATACTCCTTCACCCTCCTCTTGTCTTCCGACTAGTATCTGAACATAGCTCCCAGCATGTACTATCGCTAAAGAAGGAGCAAATCGAATCTCAGTGGCGAATGTATGTAGTGGTGAGGGCGGTAGAACAGCAACTGCCTCGACCTGGTGGCGTTGTCTCTATTAATTCCACATAGTAAATGGAGCAAAGAAGCCGCACTGGCCGCGTAGGCTACGGCATGATTGATAGTACACACCAGGTCTCATTTGGATATGTGAAGCCTGCATCCGACTTCATGATCCGCTGAGGTACCTAGGTTGATGGTATGTACATGTCCATGTTACTCTGTCGAGTCTGTTTCATTTGGGTACCCATATATGCATCGAGTCCAAGATCGGAAGCGGGAGGGTTGTGCAGATCTCAGGTATCGTGCCGTGACACGTCGCACATTAGGGCGATCCTATTACTCACATTAATGATACAGGCACCGACAAGAGCTTTGTGTACCGTGAATGTGCCCGCATCTGCTTCCTTCACGCCTTGCTCGCTTAGTCTCAGGTAGTGATAGCTCAGTTCTTCAAGAATCGATCGAGTGCCTACTTGTACTTTACTAGGCTCCGATTGGCAAAGTTCACCTGATCTTTAGGTCTTTCCCCCCTCTCATGCCCTCTGATGGTTAGGCGCCGTTGAGTTTTTTTTCGCGGGGCGGTCAGCCTTCTCGTCTACCCTAGCGCCTCGTGTCGTTTGCAGTGGATACCTGACATGGACATTCCAAATTCTGGGGCAAGTGGATGGTGACGTTGAACGTGCAGAAACGTGGAGGGAAGTCAATCGCAAGGTGTTATGTCTAGCTCATTGACTCAGCGAGACGTCGAAGAATACACAACATAAGCCATGCTCGGATCATATACAAAGGGGGCCAAGTGTAGCACATCTAAGCGGTACGTCTGCATTATGTATGGGAGGTTGAGTTCGGCTATGGGGACCCTTCGCAGCGCCAAGACGTCCGTTATCCTGTACCTATCTAGAGACTGTTGAGAAACTCCTCTACTCCTACACTAAGATGCACTGACTTACCTAGTACAAGAGTAGTATATGCAAACCAAAGTCCATAGGTCAGTTGACCCGTATATCTTGACAGCACGGGGCCGTCAGTTTGTCGTGCCAGGTACTGGTGCTGAGGGCAGAAAATGCGAGTGATGAATGATACCCCGGCATATATTCGTGGGGGAAGACATTGAAGATGTCATAGAGTCACATCGCGCGCTAATGAAGTATCAGAGAGCCTGGTTTCATACTAATTGAGACCTGCGCCAGACATTGCACCTATTCGTGTATAATACATACTTATACATGAAGTATGGGCGTGAGTGGTAGTTGTAACGGCGGGCTGCCATCGGGTTTTGGTGTTGGAGAACTTTGGCTGGGTAGCGGGTTCGGGTCCTCAAGAGACCGTCTGTTATGCCTACAAACACGAAACATGCCTGTCAATACCCGACGACCGATGCGATGCGATCAAATGTGAAATGGCCTCGAGAGCGGAGATAAAAGCATGCAATGACTGAAATCTATATAAGTACGTTATACTCATACCTGGGCCTTTACGATGGGCTGTAGGCCTGTGGTTGGGTGCCACGCGCCTCTCACATGCGTGCCCGATCAGATTGTCGTTGACCATCGGAGGCGGCTCGGTGAGTGGTGAGTGAAGCCCGAACGGATGTAACTCCAGATGATGAGGAGCTGCGTCGCCTAGCTGTTCGTCGTCCATCCAGATACGACCGTTGGTTGCATCGTTTACTCATGACTTTCCATAATAGCCAAGAAATGTGCTCATGGCAATGTCTGATACCTGACCTACCTGACCTGACAAACAACCACCCACAACCACCCCGAAGCACGCACGGAAAGTGATCAACACGAGCAAAGCCGTTGTGCTTATGTATCTCTGGCCCAGCCATAATGCCGAGCTTAAGGTGCTGATGCGGATTTGCCATGCGGCATCTTGACCTGTGGTGGCTCGCCTTCTCGTTTTGTCTTCCAGCTAATCTACGACATAAAACATCTGCAAAGGACGAGCGCTTTGGGGACGCAAGGTCCTTCTCATTGTGGGGGCTGTAGATATATCTCACAGATGAAATATTGGCGGAATTTCCCATGGCCAACAAGGGCTTGAGAAATAGAGGCGACAATCTGTTTCGTGCGGAGCGGTAACCTAAAGAAGCCCTGACGTCAGTTGGCGCTTGCACACAACACTTCGTCGTTACTTTCTAACTTTAGCTTGTTGCGACTTATTTAGGGCACCAGGCTTATTTATACTTACGTACATAATAAGTGGGAGAGGGCAGATAGTAGGTAGATGCATCCCTGTTCTTCGGCCCGAGAGATCCTCGCTCTCGGGACCATCAGGCATCATAGAGTATCTAGGTAGTCCACCAGAAACGGGCCAGTGTACGGTGAAGGTGACCATAATCCACCAGTTTGTCGTCTGAACGCAGCATCGGGACCATCGTCTGGTAATGATGAGAACCCAGGGCAGAAGAGAGGAACCGACGCATACCTGGTGAGGCGGTGTAAAATAAAACTGGCACTCTCAAAACTACGTTTTGCACATATAGAGGTGACAGCTTTTTCTTCCACCGCCTCGCCTGGGTACCAACCTTGCTCGCCATTCTTTACACTACGTTCGGCGATATCGTGGCAAGGTAATGCTGCAACCTGGACAATATAGACTTGTCTTTATGTATGCATTGCTAGGGTCGGGCGCTGAGGTCCGCCAACCGCGACCGAATCAGCTCCTCGCTGTTCTCCCAGCCCGCTGTCACTCTTCGTCCTAGATTAAATCACAATTCCACGCTTGGTCCATCGTCGTCCAGGCATGATACTGTATAGCGACGAACTCAACACGCTGTCTTACGTGGTACTGCAATTCAACCAACGCTTACTCATATACAGCGTCTAGCGGCTTGTCTGTATCGTAACCAGGTGTCAGACGAGCAGACCTCATACCTAGATCTGGATCTGGTTACTCGCTGGTGGCTGGAGGGATGATCCGAGGGGTGATCCGCAAGTCAAAGACACGACCCCCCTCCGGTCTGCCGTACCAGCTATCTATCTACCATACTAGAGAAATAATTATCTCCTAACCTTATGCCTCATGCCGAACATATTCGTTAGCGCCGCTAACCTCCATACATCTGAGATACAGTAGGCTGCCAAGCGCATCTCTGGGGTCGCTACCTACAGCGGGGTCTAATTCACGGCGCATCCCAAGCTCGGGGGTTATTGTATTCATGTTTATACACACAGACATGGTGAAATACGGTGACACCCACAGCCACTGCAGCATGCTAATGCACCAATGGCGATCCCATATGCCCAGCTCGTGCAGAGAGACCGAGATGGAAGCATTTCTTTGCGCGCCCCAGCAAATCATCGTTGTGTGCATACACACACATACGTACAGTCAACAGGCGAGCTTAGGCGGTTCGACTAAGCTGGACCAAGCGAAAGTTACCCCAATTCAGCCTAACCGCTGCACAGAACTGCGTTATGCTGCAAGCATTTTCTTTTCTGAGGAGTACCAAGCCTAAGGAACCACTACTTACTCAGCACGGTGCTTACACTGTCATCTACATAAGTATAGTAGATGGTTGATGGCTCTTCGATCGGTCCTGGAAATGCTCCTCAGAGCTGCCTCCTCAGGCAAGAGTGCAGTGTCAAGAGACATGTCAGTCTGGCCTACAGCCGCGGGGATTCCCTTGCGGTTTACCCGACTATCATAGCTCAAGAAGTTGATGATAGAAAACCTAGGTAGTCAGGGCAGCAGCCACTACATGCTGTTTGAAACCAACGGAGAAATCAAGCCTGACTGACATGTCTCTTGACACTGCACTCTTGAAGTATCTCAGAGTACCTCGCTGCCGCTTACAGGGTCCCCTTCATACGGTATTGGATATACTCACACTACTTAGTATACATGTTTCTGGGGCAGCGGTACTCGGCATGGGTGTTAGAGGTGCCAAGCGCCAACCCCCATGTCCATCCTCTACTTACGTATATACATACTTAAGTAGTATGCATCCAGGTAGGCGTTGGTGAGATAGAGTAGGTACCACCCGGTACCAGGTATACTACGTACCGGTATCCTGGCCCTCGGCCACTACTAAGAGGTATTGTCTAACAGTATGACTGGTTCGTTGTATCAGTCTGCAGGTTTCTGTCCTAGAGACTCTGCTCGTCGCTGGTCCCCTGGCTCTGTTGTGCGGGCGTGGTATGCATTACGGTAGGGGGGATGATAGAGTGCCAATATGACCTGTCATCTTGGGAGTTTCCAGTATCTTGCACGTTTATATCGGGGGTTGGTAGCCCTCTTTCGACGAGTTACCTTATTCGATGATGAGGTAGCTATCAGCTTTGGCAAATGCTCATACCGTACTTGACCATGACTTTCTTCATTCTTCCCGTCTCTCGCTTTTCCTCGCCGCCTGAACTGGCTAGACGGTGAAATGTGGGTGGAGACAACCATCCGCCAGATACCTACCTCACTTCTACCTCTTCCACCCATCCTCATCCTACCCCAAAGCCTATTACTGGCCCTGCCCATCCTGTCCGTACTCTGTCTGATGTTCGACTCCCGCCTATAGGATCTCTCAGAGGTTTTACGTCCCAAGTGGCCCCACGATCCTGTCTTCATATCCAAATAAGACTGAGCTACACTCCGCATCCGCTGCCCCAGCTTGACCCCTCCCTCGCCCAGTTTCCCCTTCTTTGTGATTCGAAGGAACAGCCTATCACTGCAGACTGGTGCGGCCTCCGATTCGCTCACCAGCCTTCCTTTTGTTCTTTTGGCAGCGAGCGCCCATGAGCAGTGTTAATTAGAGAGAATGCGTGGCGGACTTTGATCATGACCTGCTCAGATTGACAATTCCCGATCTCGACTGTTGGAATGGGCTCACAACCCAGAACTATTTGGTGAACAGTACCGCATTTTTGTCGACTCTACTTTAACTTCTTGTCTCTCAAATACATATTATTTGCGGTCGGGGTTTTGCCTAGCGGACGGATATAGCTCAATTATGGACGGCCCGCGTGCTCTGCTTACCAACACCGTTGGACTCCCATGGTCGGAGAGACGTGACCTGGCAGCGAGAGAAAGCTCCCCAATTGCCTTGTCCACAAGTCCGCGATGGACGGACCGCATACCAACGGCTCAAATGAGCGCCGCTCCGTTGTCTCCCATTAGCACGGAGCCAGAGATGCCCTGTGTTGTTGTCGACCCTAGTGCAGCAGTCCCACCTGCTCTCCAGTCCGCTAGTTCATCAGATACGACCTGGGACACCACCTACCAGGACGAGGGACCAGCGCGGAGTGCTAATGGGGATATGAACTGGGATAGCCCAGAGGACGAGTTAACTGTTCCCAAGCTAGAGCCTATGGATGATGATTGTTTCCGAATGGATGACGTTAAAGAAGAGCCCCGCGCGTCAGTTCCTTTATCAGACTGTCCGTCAGCAGCTCCGCCAAAAGTGAAAAGGCCGAGGGGACGGCCACGGAAGCACCCTATAGGAACGCAGCAAGTTAGCAGTAAAATTGCGAAAGGTCGCTCGAAGACTGGCTGTATCACTTGCCGGAGAAGAAAGAAGAAGTGCGACGAAGCAAAACCACGCTGTGAGAGCTATCGTCGACATTTTCCCAAGATCATTCCCTAATACTATGGCAGGCTTGAACTGTGAGAAGAACGCAGTGATTTGCGAGGGCTATCACGAGAAGACGATTTGGAGAGGTGGCCGTGAGAAAAAGACAGGAGGTAAGCTTATACATGAAGACTAATATGGATCCATTACGACATGCTCACCAGGCCGCCAGAGGACGAGAGGAGACAGAGCCTTCCTCAGATTACGCTCCAGCCAATTTTCGAAGGCGTTGAAACCGCCGAAGACCGAATCTTCTTCGGACACTTTATCAATAACCTAAGCGGCGTCCTTACCGTCGAAGGTCAGCATAGAAACGCTTTCAAGGATATGCTGCTTCAAATGGCATTGGAGCATCGCGGTCTCATGCACTCTATCCTTTCGCTAGCAAGTAAACACCTTGACTATGAAACACCCTATGGCAGCAAGCTTCTTAGCTCTAACCCCAAAGTCAACCGTTCGTCTATGATAGCTCGGTCGCATTTCCATCACGATCAAGCCATGCAACTACTGCTACAATGGGGTAAAAGCGGTGAAGAAGTGCCGGACCAGAAAGCTAATCTAGCACCCTACTATGGCCAGATGCTGTGCCTCCTGTTGCAGGCAGCTGCTGAAGGATCCACGGTGAGCGCACATCGAGTACATCTTCGGGCCTACAAGAGCTTGATCCAGGAAAACCCACCGCCAGACGAAGCCTTTACCACATTCATCACCGAGTTATTTCAATATCGCGTTTTCGCAGATGAGCTCATCCTGCAGCCTGACATGCAATCAAAACGTCTGGCTACGGAAGACTGGGAGCCATGGACCGTGATCGAACCTGCGCGATTAATTGGAATTGGCGACAGGCTATTTCACTACCTTGCCAAGATCACAACTATAAAAAACGAAATAAGATCCAACTTGTCCGCCAATACCAACCCGATAGTTACCTCGGAAATGGCGATGCGGGCCCATGATATCAGCGCGGGAATCATGGAATGGGAGCCAACCTGGCCTGCGGGAGACAACCGAAACCGCGTCAGTCAACTCTACAAGCAAATGATGTGGGTGTACCTTTATCGGACTATTTTCCCTCCACCGGCGTCGGCAATCGCAAATACAATGAACAACAACATGGGCGTTGACTCGAGCGTTAGTCCTTATGTGGCCATCAGCAACGTGGCGGATGGTAGCAACGTAATGCCTCTCTCGCCTGCCTCCTCACAGTCCTGCTCTACGACGCGCTCACCTCCTCCCGTTGGTGTTTTTCCTCCAGGATCTGATCGCCGACTATCGAATGGAAGCTTTCAATCAACGCCGATATACCTCGTCGGTGGAGGATCGCCTCCGCCTATCATGCTATTTCCCCCACATTCTGACCCGCGGAGATTGTCTCTTGCTGTTGATGAATGCCTTGGAATACTTGAAGAATTCAAACCGAGCGATCCCGTGCAGACGTTGCTACTGGTTCCATGTCTCGTGCTTGGGTGCGCATCATTTAAGCCTGAACAGCAGGATCGTGTGAGAGATGCAATCCGCATAGTACGTGGTTATACAGGGATGCGTAACTGTGATCGCCTCGCAGAGTTTCTGGAAATAATATGGGAGCTCATGGGTCGGGGCGAGTGGGAAAAGGTTTGGGATTGGCAACGTACAGCAAAGCTGAATAAGCTTGATTTCGCATGTGCTTGAATATGGGCGAAGCTTGCCTTTTGTCGAATCCTTCGACATATCTCTATTGGATTGGCCCCTCTTCCTATTTGGCTGCCTCAATCAAGGCTTGGGAATGGAGGAGTATGGCTTTTTTAGTGGAAGGTCCTTCAATACTTCGTATAACACGCTCAGCCCGAAGGCCATTTCTTCGGGAGTTGGCTCACCACGGCGTATGGTAGCAGGCTATGGCGTTTCAGAACCGGCGCATGAGGTTAGGCAGGGTTGAACACATCATTTATGTCGCTGGGCTACGGTTGCTTTACGACTTATGGAAATGTGCCTAGGGAGGCGTTTCAATCAATCATTTCCTTGCTTATTGGACGTGGACCTTTCTATCTAAATCTCATCGTGACATGTTTCCATGAAGGAGCACGTCCAGAATGCTTATACCCATTTTCTTTTTGCGCTATTTGTCTTAGATATGACGGCCATGAGAAGAACTCTTGATACCAAGGAGCATCACAGGCGAACCACTTTCAAGAACATGTGTCTTGATTTGCAATTTGGAGTATTCGGCGTTTTGGGCGGCTATTCTGCATATTTGGTTATAGTGAACATATTGAGATGTTGAGTCATTAGGGGGCACATCATGGAGACCGCAAATTCAGTTGTGCAGAGGGCGCTTTGAACATATAGGTATATATGCATGCACATGTCCTCCTAGACAATCAAGCACCTAAGCCTCTACTCCTGGAGGTCTATCATTCGAACTACATACCCTGTGAACACGTTCCCTTAGCAGAACTAGCAATCGTGCCAGTTATCAGATATACGTCTATAAGTTCGTATAGCCTGAGTGATAGATGATGACTAGACAACACACTACTTTTGGTATCATAGAGATGCTTTGCTTCAAACACATGTTCACCTCGTATCTTATGGTGGGTAGACAACGGGCCATCCATCTAGGTATCTTACATCAAGCATTCGTTTGCTGACTCCATGAGGGCTCGGAGCGTGCCCAGTCGAAGGTATTCAACAAATCGAAATCGAAGTCAACCTGCGTCGTGAAGCCCAAGTCGTATACTGCACCGGGAGCGCTCTCGTATCCTGGCGGCGAGGCATTAAGTGCCTGGTCTAGAACATGCTTGATAATGGTTTTGCACTTAGAACACTGATCACTAAAAAGACCCTAAAGGTAAGTATATTGAGCTTGTAGTGGAGATGGAAGAGATATAATACCCGTTAGGTGCTGTCGGCTTAACCCAGTCCAGAAACCCGACGAGAAGGCTTAGCTTCTGGATCAGACTCGACCTTGTGATTCTGGAGTCGTTGTGTAAAGTAGGCTTTAGCAGCTCCTGGCATAGGATACCGCCTGCAGGAACGCCAAAGGCGATGACCTTGAGATGTGTTACGAGTCAGCCAAATAGTGGATGCGACAAGGGGTTCGCATCACTTACGAGCCATTCGCAGTCATTGCGTAGTGGGAGGAGCGTGTCTTGATGTGTCCAGAATGGCAAAGTATAGGTAATCATGTCGAAGCTGATAGACAGAATGTCACTTTGAGAGTGGCCGTGCTTGAGCAACAGCCGTTCGATGAAGAACATATTTAGGAGGTGCTCTAGTCGCATCAAGAGCTTCCAATACAAAATGTTCACATCGTGCTTTTGATCGTCTAAATCGGAATCGCGGTATTCCATGAAGGGCGGAAAATCCTCAATTGTGCGCAATTCTCGAGCCTTCACGTCCCTTGTTCATGATATTGTTAGCTGTTAAAGTAATTGAATAATAAGGGGGTGTATGACTATCAGCCGTTACGCACAGAAGCTCGTCAACCGTCACTTGCTGCTTGGTATGGAGGGCAAAATGCATGAGCTCCTCGCGGAGCATTGAAAGCTTGGCTCTCGCGCGCAGAAAAGAGACCGAAAATCTGCTCTCACGCTTGTTCCATCCCAGGTTATTAATATCAGCCTTCGCTTCGTCAAGAGAAATGCCCTTGACGCCATAAAGGGTAGAGTTGCCAATGTCAAGTGGAAGCGGCGTCGTATTATAGTTTTGCGTCATTAGAAGCGGCCGCCCTGTCAATGATACCATCGTCACTAATCACACAACCGGGTCAGCAATTAGATCATGTATGCAGCAAGAGGCGAAGCAGAGCCCCGACTGTATGCACGAGCAGTGAGCTCTAAGCCGGGTCAAGGTGCTGAAGGGTGGTGGCCCATAGGAGGAGACGAACTGTGTACGTTGTACTGTAATACTTCAGGTTAGTAACTATCATGTCGAGCTCGGCTGCGATTTTCGGCATAACTCTGGTCCGGGGTTGAGAATTTACTCTCAGGATATCATAATATGAATGGCATTGATTTTGGAATCACCTACTATCGAATAGTATATCCTCCGTTTGATTTCTGTCATGAAGTTGGGTTGGTAATCCGGTGTGTCCGGCAGTACGTGGTAGCCTAAGAAAGTCAGGAGCGTGATGACTTCTCCAAGGAACAACCAGGAGCGTCGGCCTGCTGTATAGTTAGCAGCACGCACATCCAATGTGCATAGAAAAACAAGCACGAACTCATATCGCCATTAAGAACAGTCTCCATTACGAGCCGTTTATGGGTAAGAAACAATAGCATCGAGTTAGCAGGGGAGAATTCGTTGCACAGCTCGAGACAAAAGTCGACACACTGCTTCGTGATCTGGCTCGGTCGACCGTACTCGTCATGATTCGGGTTTTTCACTATGGTGATGGAATTAACGCTGAAGTCCCAAAACCCAAAAATCAACCCCAATGCCTCCCAGCGCGTCTTAGAGCCGGAGAATTGTGCGATCCATTGGCTAGGCGAGATGTCCTCGTCGTCCGAGAACGGGAGCGCAGTGTTCCTGCAGAGAATGATGGCTAGCTCTTCGAGAGACTTATCATTCCTGTTGGGTCCGAAATATTCCCCGAAAGTTTCGTAAAAATCGGTTAAAACGCGGTCGAGGAAATAGTAATACCACTACAGCAATATTTGTCAGTTATCGCGCTTGCAACGTGACGTACGTGTTCCAGATCCAAGATCCAAGACATGATATCTGGAACATGTCCGAATTGCAGACACCTGATGTCGCCGGAATGCGATGCGATTGACTCCGACGGCTACTTACAGCTTCGCATGGGCTGCCGCGTAGATAGAACTTCCCACGCGAGGGTTCAGGCACTTGTCGCAGTACATATAAGCAAGCTTCGCGGGCGCGAGTACTCAGAGTAAACCCATCTGGTACAGAAGTCTCCGGATTCAAGTCTTCAGATTCAGGAGGAGTTGCGTGAGAGCCCTTGAGCCTGCTGAGACTATTCTGCGTCTCCTCAAAGACAGCTGAGAAACTGGTGAAGCCAAGATAACCTGATGCCATCTGCCTAGCGGACAGCCCTTCGGGGCTGCGAATTTCAGTCGTTTCCGAGACATTGGTGGTTGAAGGCAGATAGATGACAGACGGAGTCGAACCCGTGGGAGAAGGAGGCGGTCTACGAGGCGCAGATGAGGTTCTCGAGTTGCCTGACACCAGGTAGACACAGTCATTACCTTGACTCCTCTTCCTACATCGGTTGCAGACTGGTTGACTATGATCGCACGCTACTTTGCGCTTGCGACAAGGCTACGTAATCGTGTCAGCGCAAGTTCAGCGCCAAGCCGAAGAAGCATCTTACTTCACAGGCTTGCGGTCGGCCGTTGGGTCGACGGAGTAGTGAGCTTGCCGGGGGCTGCATTTTCCAGCACCTAACTACATTCCTACACTCCTGTGAGAGTGGTACTGGCGCCGCGTGAGGCTATCGGCACCGCTATGGAGTTGTTCCACAGCAAGTTTGTTGGCCAAGTCACTATGGGTAAGATATATTTTACACAGCGGCCTGGAAATTAGTCAGACTGGTTTTTAAAAAGGATGGTTAGTAGCCTGTGGAATTTCGCTCATGGTTAAGATTCCTAAAACGGTAATACTGTTACCTAGTTAGAATTCTAAAGGCGATAGTAGGCAACGTGGTTAAGAATACAGGTATGTAGGTAAAAGCATGGGTTTTTGATTAGTTAAGAAAATAGCGACGAAGATGACTAAGAAAGAAATATGATGGATTAATCAGCGAAATCAAAATACTGGTTAAGTATCTATTCTAACGACATCTTCCAGTCTATATACCTCCTTCGGCCCAAAACACTTCAGGATCACCTACTTATTTAGACACCATTCATGTAACCGCTAACCTGATCTGGAAATAATAGTATGCTCAACATCCTCTATAAAAATCGGTCTGGCGCGCTACGGTGTGATTGGTGTAGCTCTTCATCTTACCAGCGTCCGGTTTATCTGGGCTGTAACTCGGTATGACTCCCATGGTCAACGGCATACCACCCAAGCATACTCAATTGACGTGATCTATAATGCATTAGAACATTAGTCATTAATTGAATGCGTCACAGCTTGCCGATGAAAACTATTGGTGATACGGGCGCAAGTCTGGCAGGAGAGGTAGGCCTTTTATGTGCGGAGTTCGGCTTCGGAGCTCGGCTTCGGCTTGGCTCCTAGGTGGCTGCCTTAGGAACATGGTTGCTAGTCACATTGCATCAGGCACCTAGCTCTCGGCTTGAAGTCAGATCCAAGCCACGCCGTTGTGGCCGCAGCAGGGCGTCAGGCTCGGCAGGTTGGATGAGAGTCATCTGAAAGAAATATAGTCATTAGTTATATATATAAATGATGCTGTTTCCATGCAGTACCTACTTGCCTTTTCAGATAGACACCACCCATCTTTGCTCACGAAACACCATTATTTCAGTCAAACTCCAACAACTCACAACTATTACACCCAATAACGTTTTTCTCGGCCTGTATTCGAGTTGCTATTACGACAAAGGACCTTGTTGATACCTCATAATTCCTAATATCATGGCTACTTCACATTCACAATCCCGACGACACTCTGCTGCAACAGACCTAACATTGACTGAGAGCAAGTCCGATTTCGCTAACCCAATGGATGACCACGTGGGGAAAGAGAAATATCTCGACGATGGTGCGTACCGAGAAGCAGACCAAGTCTCAGCCGCACTCTAGAAGCTAGCGCTAACTGATACTTCCGCATTTGTTCATAGCAGACGAGAAAACGCTATCCGATCTAACATTGGCGGACGGCTCGTCGACTCACTCGAACACAAAGCTGTCAAAAACCATGAAGCAGCTAAAATCCAAATTGAAGCCAAAGGGGGGGAAACCGAAGGCGAAGTCTTCGATCCCGCCGAACTATTATCCCAATACCTTACAAACATTCGAGGCGCTAGCAGGTACGTTAGCTCTTAGTCTTCTCGAGGTTAATAACACTAAGCTTATTTTCATATAGCTTCACGAATGTAAAATGATATACACTATCCTCCAAGTCCTGGCTAGCAAAGGCCGGGAGCCAGATAGTGGCTTTGGGTTTATTGGAAGACAAAGACAGTAATCTGGCTGCGGACTGATTTCCTTTTTCTGTTCTCTATTTATTTATTTAATTTTATTGAGAGATACATCGACCTAGAAGGCAAAATGTTGGGGGAAAATAATGACGATGCGGCGTAATAGGAGCTTGGAAGAAATGGGATAGATGGGAATGCTCCCTCATGCAAATGGAACACATAACATGACGATTGACTCATAATATACGCTTGAATGACCAATACCTTGTCTTTGCACCATGCAACCCCATCATATATGATTCATTGCTGGAGGGGGCCCTAGCCGCTTCAATCTCATGGTTTATTTTTTGCACATCTTTCGGCAATGATATCTGATGCCCCTCAATTCCAATACATATACGCACATACGAGCCATGTTTTGTGCATTGTCGACAATCGGAGCAGGTGGGGGCGGAAACCATATGGCTATAAGACTATTGGTTGGACGTAGTCTTGTGCGTCTCACTCCTAACACCAACTCAGCCATTCCAAGCTGGCATCAGTAGCCCAACAAGATTGATCGCAAGAAACTTCTAGTTGTAATAGTGGTCACCAGGGATTCCTCGTCTTGACTAGATAATTGCAGCAACAGTATTAGACAGCCGAGATTAGACTTTCAGTACTCAAAGTTGCACTCGCGCTTTATGTGGTAATATTCCGAGGCTTGCTTACTTCTTAGGCGACAGCTTATGACTCCCTCTGACTGCATCATTGGTGATCCGCTCTCCTACCACCGTGGGGAGGCCTCCTCCGTTTTGAACTCGATGCCTGATGGTTCGAAAAAGGCAGACACGTATTATTTGCCTCGTTGTGTAGCAGGGTGGCGATGCTTTATTGGACATCTGCGGCATGCCCCGGTTTTGAAGTATAACGAAAGGTTATTGTGCAAAGATCCTAGGTTAACGATGGTAGTCTATTCTGTTATACAAAAGAATTCGTTTGTTCTAGCTCCCTGACTATTTCGGCTCAAGACAATCAACAGATAGAGGAGAACCATATACGAGGCCCCATCATTATGCTCACAGTGGCGCAGCGTGGATAGGTTGACGCCTAGTCAAGAGCATATTGTACCGTGAGATGCTTTGGTTCGGGGTTCTTTGAGTGGCGCTGAAGAGGGAGCATGCGCCTTGACAAACCAATAGTATTTATATTCTCGGTCACAGCTGTGCCAGATATCTAGAGTTAGTTACACGCATGGAGGCCTGCAATATACCATCCAGATTCTTGTAATGTAATTTATTTTGGCTGTTATCTTTATCACAACTGCTATACGCACCCGTGGCTGAACCTACAGATCGTCTATGGCTAAGGGTGTATGCCTTATAACAGCCCCTTCACGCCATATATGAAACTATGAGGTTATACAGAATTTGCTGGTATGAGATACCTTTAGGCTTAAAGAAGTGTAATATAAACACACGGTATAAAGGTGTCTACTAACTAGTTATAGCGGAGTAATAGTTCTGTCTCTTTCTTATATGCACATACGTAGGTGTGAGGCCTGCAAACAGATATGCATTGCTGCTGGAGTCCTAAAGTGGGCTCGGTTTCAACTCGCCCAACTAAATCTTATCAAGGACCCTTAAGTGAACCCCACATATGGGTCATCTCGTCGTCAATACGAACAAGAGATTTTCAGATGAATTCGCAATGCAAGACTGCCTCTGATGACCCTCACTGCACGGGATGCGTGTGAAAAGCACACGAAAGCTGCTAATCTTCGTTTGGGCGGTTGATTGACCTTTTCTCTCTTTCCTGTAGCCGCCCCCAAATCCTCGACCTACGCCGAAAAGGGGATCCTCGATCCTGGGAGACTCCCCCCGTGTTTTTTGCCATGTTGTCACTCGCTTCGACACACAGCAGATGGCTTGCTACTGTTGCTACTTTGTATATTTTCCTCCAGCCAAGTCTTGCAGCCTACGTTCAGTTCAAAGACTGCTATAATGCGCTCCCCGCCGACAGCGTTTCCAGCCAGCCGCGACCATCACTCGAGTCGTTTAGAGTCGAGTTGCATCAATGGAACAATGCCACGCAAATTGGCATGCAAATCCTAGGTCGGTTTGCAGGAGAGGGGATATGTGACTCTGTTCCTACGACGCCGTATCTGACGCTCGATGTGGCCTCTGTAATCGGCACAAGGGTCTACAATGGGGACGTGACAAATGTGACTTGTAGCCCAAATGCCCACTCTACCACCCAGAAAGAATCGCTTGTTAGCTACAACTTTGGCAACGCCATCGACCGCATGCATCCGCTCGGGGCCTTTGAGCTTGGCGTCCGCCTCCTCGGGGCGGATCACAAGCCCTTTACCTGCCTGGAAGCGCATGTCACACCCGAGATTGGTCCCAATGCGACAGCCATCGCGCGATGGATCCCGGCCGGCATCCTCGCCCTTGTTATCGCTACTGCGGGCCTCAAGTCGCTGTCGCAGCTGTCGTCGAGTCTTGACGACGACCAATCTGGCCCTTTCTTCCGCGAAGTCGGCAGGTCACATCTCACGCACATCGCGGACTGTCTTTCTTACATTCAATTCATCTTCTTCTCCGGCGCGCTTAGCCTCAGCTACCCCGGCTTCTTTCAGCCTGTCGTCAGTCATAGCAGCTGGTCCACTCTAATGACCTCGCGGGGTCCTGCTTCTCCGCTTCCCTTTTATCATGGTATCAAGGATGGAATATACGAGGTCAATGGAACGTTTGGGGGGACCGACGGCTTAGAGCTCATGACACAGGTTATCGGCGCACCCGTTACCATACAGACGTGGATGAACGTGATCACTTACACCGCTTTGATCTTTACCCTTCTTTTCATCATTATCCAGGTCGGGAAGCGGCTCGATCACACCCGAGACTGGTTCGCTCCGCCGCCAACCCCCGAGGCACAGGCCGCGCAGACCCTCCAAGGCCTGAAGCATACTGCCTCGACCGCCTTTCGCGCATTGATCAGCTACTTCCTTTTACCTGTCGTCGCGTGGACGACTTACCAGCTGGGACACGCCCAGATCTTTCCGTACTATTATACGACTATCTCGGCTGTGGTGCTAGCCGTCTTGATTGCCACATGCTGGTGGAGTGCATCCCAATTTAGCCCCAGACACATGGGCTACCTCATCCTTGACAGCTCCAAGGAGTACCAGACTCTTACGTCCATGTCCCGATCCCAAGATTTGCTCAGCATTGCGATGTTCGGCCTCTCCTTTGCACGAGGTGCGGCTATTGGTGGTCTCCAGATAGCTGGCCTGCCTCAGCTGACTTCCCTTCTTGGCTGCGAGATCATCCAAGTTATGCTGATCTGTCTCGTCCGTACTCCAGCAGCAATTCTCTCCGTTAGCGGGTTGACCACCGTCGCTCGTCTTCTTATCACGCTACTCTCTGTTCCGTTTCTCCCATATGTGACTGGGCTGGAAACGAAAAGCATTTTCGGCTATATTATTCTAGTTCTACATGGCGCTGTTCTGGTATTCGGTTTCGTTTGTCCCTCTTTGTACACCATCGCTAAGCTAGGCGCTTCGACCTTACGCATATCTGACTCTGATACTCTGGGATCATCCCCGGAAGAGCCACAGGTAGGGCATTGCTTTCAACAATTTATTAAACCCTTATTTACTGATATGTACCGCTCTAGGTCTACTCCCTTCGTCGACTCCGCCAACGGCCCAACACTGTCACCAATCTCTCTCTACCCACATTGCCGCACCTGGTAGTATTACAGCCGGCCCAGCCCGAACGGGGCCGGTTCCCGAGCGCTTCGTCCTCTACCAGCCCTAGTTGCCCGGATAGCCTAGCATTAGAGGACAAAAGCCGGTACTATCGCCGCCCGAGATCCCGTCGTTCTTCCACCGATATTCGGTTGCAGGTCTCTGTCTCCCCTCCCATTCCAGAGGACATGATACCCACTCTGCACCACGAACGCGCCAGCTCGCTCTCTTCTTCGGAACAAACCAGCGAAACCAGCTCCGCCGACGCTTCTGATGCAGTGAGCTGGGCCGAGCCAGCACGGTTTGCTAATGTTGGCGTGGACTACTCAGTGCGCGAGGTGGACTTGTACTACAAGCGGGCGAAGCAAGGTGACGAGGAGGAGCAGCCGCTCGAGCCAGAGCTAACGCCCAGGTCGTCAATTTCAACACTAAATCCACGGCGGAAAGTGTCAGATATGTGGAAAGAGTGGGCTACTAGGTCGGTAAAGGGTAATGGTAATGATAAAAAAAGCTTCGTGGTTGTTCGACCGCCGAGGACGAATTCTTCGCCAACGAGTTCATTTTCTACATCCACCACCGTTATTGCATCGTCGTCCTCATCGGCTCTAGACTCGTAATTAGAAGTCTCTTATGCGCGGTCCTTTATAGACAATAAATAATCATGTATTTTTCCAATTATATGATAGACGTAAATATTTCATGTACATTTCATGTCCACATTTCATCATTCACGGTGCGAGATTTGGCTAGATACTATTGAACGCTAATGTCTCGGGTCCGTACTGATATATCCAAACTACTGACAACCCGGTTCTTACTGGAGAGGGGCTGGGGGGACTATAATAATAACCTTTAATCTTGGAGGCTTCTATACTAGAACTATAATGTTTATATGCAAAATGTGACGATTTTAAGGCTGCTTTGATAAGCCAAATACGAGATGTGCGGGAGAAAATTTCATTGCTGTACGAAGTCCAAAAGGTCAGGAGTGGAGGCATTCGGGCTCCTTCTGGCGATATACACACTCAATCTCTGTCTCCGGATCCCTGTATATAGCTCTGGCCTAGGCATGAAGACTTTAGACCTTAGTGTAACAACAAATGTCATACAGTAGTCCCGTGGTTGTGCTTCTCACAGCAAAGGCCGTACCAGTCGCATCCAGTATCTAATTCACTTACGAAGGTCAAAAGGGAATCTGGCGGCCAAAGACCTGGCAGACCTAGCAGATTATTATATTTTGAATAGTTCAAATTCCGAGTCTCGATTTTTCTCTCTCAGTATACCGAGAGAGTATTTGAAGGCTCTCCTCCCTATCTTGTCTCAAATGTCTAAAGCCACAATGCGATAATTGATTGATGAGACAGTTAGTACTTCACAAGGAAAAAAACTTGAAATCACCGTCAAGGGTGTCAAGGGTTTGCTTTTGGCGTACCTGAAATCAGTGTCCATCACAAGTTCATTGATATACAAAGCTTTTCACCTGGCCGGAGAGGTGCGTTGGAACTCACTCCGGCTTGACGACCAGTTGTATTCATCTCTGGATCCAGTTCGACATATCATTTTCTAGATATCAGGAAATAACTTACATTCTTTAGAATGAGAATCAACTTACCAGTGAGAGACTACCACAATACCGCTGCGCACTTCAAGTGATTGTGGTCGCCATTCGCAAACACGAGACCATTCAAGTAGCTAGCCACAGTCTGGATAGCAGTATAGCAAAGGGGCAATTGAATCTACTTAGTATCGCGCGAATGTATAAACTCTGAGGTGCCCGCCATCAGTAAGAAGTCGGTTTTCTGAGTTCTCCTGCGACATGATTCCTCATGATAGAGAAGAGACATGTTATAAGTACTATGGCCGAGGGAAGCACCTAATGACTCGCAGCAATTCAGATCCTCTACTGAAATGGCTTTTAGAGTCATGTTTTTCACCAGTTCTTGTATGCTGTCAAAATTGGGAAGGTAATCGTGTCCGTCTTCAGTGACCAGAAATGGATTCGTATTAGTTCACTCCCTTCCATCACAAAACTGAGAGGTTAAGACGTTGAAATTCGTGTTATAGGCGATGTGGACAAAAGATGCACATATAGCATGTATATCACGATAATAGAGAGGCTATTGTCGATGAAAATTCGGGTGCGACTAATTTTTTGGATAGTAGCGATTGACGTGTGTGTGGCAGGAAAATAAGGCTGTGAGTCTCCCAAGTCGCGTTCTTGTGTGTAGCAAAGTTAATGACCGGGTAGTGAGCGCATACCCGAAGGGTCAGTGACCTGAGCATGGGCAATCTAGAGGAGCAGATTGCCATACCACAAAAGTGCGAAAACCTGCCCGTTAGGCATAATCCAAAGGATGATAGGGCGTGTGAGCAAGAGATGGCAGCAAGGAGGAATCAGAGCTGTCAAGATCCTGTCATTCTGGTCTTCATACAGCAAATCCAGTCCCGAGATGCCATGGCAAATTAGCGATCCAGACGCGCTCTTCCGTGTTGCTTACAAATACCACCCTTAATTACATTTAGTCGCTTTATGGTAGGTCCCAGTTGTCGGCACTGAGAGACATTCTGGAATTCTGGGTCCAAACGTGTCCGGCGTATTTCCCATGCGAATTCGTATCCTGAAATTGAGAGCCACGCGGCGTTTCGGGGTTACCGCGCCGATTGCGGCATAACTGTCGACGCAGCACCGCCCCCAAGCTGCCTAGTCCCATGTTCTGACCACTTTCGAACTTGATCGCTCGCTCGCGCGCTCTTGCAGTCTGCTAGGTCTGATATATCTAACAGAAGTGGATATCCTGATCACATATGTAGTTGAGCAAACTGTACTGTACAGTTCATAAACGCCAGGGCTTTAGGCTTGGGGCAAACCCCTGTTGTGATGTCGAGTTTGGCCATATCCGAGATGTCCAAATAAACCAATAATGCTAACATGGTAATCGATATGTCATCTCGGAAGTTGGTCATGTGCGCGTAGCAGCACAGAATGTGATGAAAACTAAGAGAGATTGTCGATGGTTCTCCCGACGTAGCATCTGACTCAGTCGACGCAGAAAATTTTCGAGGGTGAGAAGGCCTGGCGCAGTGGTGGAGAGAACCTTGCTAAGCCACATTAGAGGTAAATGGGAAGAGGTTGATGCTTATTACTTAAACATTACTCGACGGATTGAAATTTTTTCATGAGCAGAGGGACCCAGGATTACCAGATTTGGCCGATTGTGAAGATATTTTGAAAGAGCATGCAGGGGGGGTCAGGATCATGACACACTATTACACAAGCATTGCTCGATTCTATCGAGCAATCGTTTGTCGATAACAAGTCCAGACACCGCCCAGACCAACCACGGCCCAAGACTAATCTAAGACAACTCCCCACCGCTATTCCGAGTGTTTGTTCTGGGTACGCTAGATAGATAGTCTGAAAGGTTCGTAATGGAGCCGACCCGCAGTTGACTTGACAGCCGAGGATCGTCCCGTTTAACCCATGTGTTTTGGCCGTTTCTTGATCGCAAAAGGACATCACGCCCACCGACTATGCTCACCCGATGGACGTAGGGTGATCGGTTTGAAGGGGAACTAGTTTCTAAGTTGTGTTGATATATGTAGTTGAAGAACTGCGGTCTGGCAAAACGCAGGTGACGTGGCGGGGTCGTATGCTTATCATATTTAGTCGGTAGATAGCGTGTAGCTACTAAGATAGTCGGCGTTTAAGTACGTGATGTCAGTCAGTCATCGGTGAGCTCCGATTCCTGATTAGTATAGTCACCTACCCACAATGGGCTCGTTGGTTTGAGGTAACCTACTTCTAGTGGGCGGCTTGTACCTACCCAAATTGGAGTAGAAATCCCTACAGATAGGTATACTTACATGAATATAGATGTATGCTAAAGTCTGTACGGAGATGGACAGCCAAGGGGAAGATTACCCCTTCATAAGCTGAGTAGTATGTAGGTAAGTTGTGCCGCAAGTCGACTGTGTCGAATATCGTAAATAGCATTGAATCGTGTACGTGAGGTAAGGACGAATACAGCATCATATCATACCGTACCCAGAGACTGTGTATGCCTCTATCATTTCTATGTGCGTATCCCAAATTCTATATTCGGAAGCTCTTGGTATGCAGGTCATCTGTTCATGTGGAGATAAGGTGGCACGGCGCAGATAGGAAGCACCACTTTTAGGCGTTTGATAGATAAAGAGATCCAGGGCATTGCGTCGCCATCAGCTGGATCGGCGCGACGACCAATCGAGTGGCAATGATAACAGGCCGTTGCAAATCCAGGGTCCTCGGTCGTCCCTCGCTTTGCGCTAACTACTGCCGGTGCCCCATGAGCCATGATCATGATAGCGGTAATGATTATACTTAATAATGATATCGAGACTGACTGAGCGACGAGTGATGATCATACAGGACCTAGACTGTCCAGACTCGCATGGGTCTGGCCTTACAGCCGGCACCGACTCCAGATTTCGGCAAGCCGTAAACCGCAAATTGGAGACCTTACTCACTCTCCCTCTCTCTCTCACCCACCTCACCTCACCTCAGATCTAACCTAAATGTCCACCTTGCTGTCTGCCACCTATGTCATGTCTTATCCCGCTTGTACTGACCTTCTTATCTTGTGTTCCGTCCCATTTTCGACCGCATCTAGTGACAATCAACTTGTGCGCCTTTCCGATTGGCCCCCCGACTTTCTGTGCTGGTAACACTGCTCTCTCCTTGCCGTGACTTGTTTACCACGGTATCCTTGCTCAGCACGCTCTCCTGTCTCCGTCTCCCTTCTCTTGCCTCTACTTTTTTGTGTCTTGTCTCCATCACAAGGCCCAGCCCTTACCCATCATGTATTACTCCCTCGGCTACCCATTAACCCCCACAACTCCAGCCCGTAGCCACGGTCGTAGTCGTAGTGTCGTAATATAAAACCCGCCTAGTTATCTGATCCGGCTTTCATCATGGCCTTGTCCGATAAGCCGAAGCCTTTAAATTCTTACCACCCCCAGACTGGGCTTCTTTGTCACTCCTGTCTCTTATCTTCTTTGTCTCTATCCCCTTTACGGCCCCCTTCAGGCTTCTCCTCTAATTCCGGCTTATCACTTATCACTCACCAAGCTTCAACAACACGCTATCGCCCTCCCATTGTCTTGTTATACTATCCGCCCACACGATAAGCTGATCACCTAACCCTTGTCGACCACTATCTCTACTCTTTTCTTTGTCCTCTCGGCTCGTTTCCCGGAAGGCTCCCGCGGTCCGATTGTGTAGTGTGTACTGCGTACTGTGTAAATGTCCGTCCCGGCCATGTCCAGCCCAGAACCGCTCACAGTCCTCGTTTCGACGAGGGCGATACTGACGTTGCCAGATGACAGCTTACTGCTGACACCTGCCTCTATATCCATCTCCCCTACCTCCGGGAAGATAGTAGCTGTCGTGGCGACTGTCCTCCCTAAGACTGCGTTCCCTTCTACTACAACATATATCGACTATGGCTCGAAGCTGCTGATTCCCGGCCTGGTGGATGCCCACGTGCATCTCAATGAGCCGGGTCGCACAGAATGGGAAGGATTCAACACTGGCACACGAGCAGCAGCATCGGGGGGTGTGACCACTGTTGTCGATATGCCCTTGAACGCCATCCCACCTACCACAACCTTGGCAGGGTTCAATGAAAAGCTAGCGGCCAGTCGGGACCAATGCTGGGTGGATGTGGGTTTCTATGGAGGTGTCATACCTGGCAATGCAGATGAGCTACTGCCATTAGTGGAAGCCGGTGTTCGTGGTTTCAAAGGGTTCCTGATTGAGTCTGGTGTAAGTGCTGCAAAACATGAATGACGTTCTGGAATGCTAATGGCCTGTTGTAGGTGGAAGAATTTCCTGCCATATCATCAGCTGACATTGAATTGGCAATGAACACATTGAACGGTACACCAACAACCCTGATGTTCCATGCCGAGATGATTCCACCTATCACAGACTCTGTGGGCGATGCTGTTCAAAGCTCCGAACCACCACTAGCACCGAAGGGCACTTTGAAAGAATATCAGACGTTCCTCGAGTCTCGTCCGCCATCCTTTGAGACTTATGCAATCGAGGAGATTATCGCTCTCTCCCATCTCGCCACCAACCTCCACCTACATATCGTGCACTTGTCTGCTACCCAAGCCATACCAATTCTCAAAGAGGCACGCAAGAGGGGTGTTAACATCACTGCCGAGACGTGCTTCCACTACCTAGGGCTAGCTGCCGAAGGTGTTGAGGATGGTGATTGCCGGTACAAGTGTTGTCCCCCAATTCGGGAGCAACTGAACCAAGACGGCCTTTGGGAAGAACTACAGGCCGAAGACTCGTGTATCAAGACTGTTGTGTCGGATCATTCACCTTGCACACCTGAGCTCAAGCTCCTGCCACCCCACCTCCAAACGATGAGTACCCGTCCTGGTATACACCACTCCGACTCCGGTGTCGACATGCGCGCCGACTCGGACCTTGCTCCAAAGATTCCCACCGGTCCAGGCGAAGGTGACTTCTTCGCCGCCTGGGGCGGTATATCCTCCGTCGGTCTCGGGTTGCCCATCCTTCACTCATCGGCCAAAAAGCGAGCGGCAGCGGGTTCCAAATCAGCACCCACAATCGTCGATATTGTACGACTGTGCTCGCAGGCCACTGCCAAACAAGTCGGGCTATCGCACCGCAAGGGCGCACTCAAGGTAGGCATGGATGCCGACATCTGCGTTTTCGATGACACGGAAGAATGGGTCCTACAATCGGGCGGCATGCACTGGAAGAACCGTTGCTCGCCGTGGGAGGGCCACGACTTCACAGGCCGGGTGAAGGAGACCTGGTTGAGAGGCCAGAAAATTTTCGAGCATGGTGGCGCCAATGCTGGCTTCGTCGGCATGAAGCCCTTTGGCGAGGCAATCGTCGAGAAACGCGTTGCCTAATCCACCATTCTCTCTGCCGAATCAGTAAGCAATGATTAAAATAGACATCCTCGAAGTTGATAAGGGAAGGTTGACAGGAATTGAGTTTAGAGGCGGGGAGGCTTTGGGGAAGGGATGAGGAGAAGAGCCCCAAGCTCCTCCGCATGAAATGATGTGATACCAAGCGCATGGAACGTGCATTTTTATGGCGTAATGATTACGAGAAACATAGCATTTATAACATAGAGCTTTTATTTAATTCTTGATAGCCATGCATCAACCAGTATGATTTTGATGATTCCATTCCTAAGTGATTCATTCTATAATGAGTGTCAAGCTCACCATCTTAGAGCACGAGCACCCACATGCATATAAATGTAGATCATCAAGCTCGACCAATTCGAATTGATTGAGACTATGGTGCGATGGAGTATAACCAAGGCTTCCAGTCTAACAATACAGCAATTTTGGGGAATATATCTCGAAACATAGACATTGTTGCATGGCTGCAAGCAACAAGAAGCCGACCATGAATGTTGTACAAATCGCGCCTTTGGTTCACCTTGGCCCAGACCATAGCGACGCCTTACGCGAACTCATAGGAAGGAGACTGATCGCGCATGCGATTGCGCAAGAAAGAGAATGCCAGCGAATGCTTCAATATCGCTGCATGGCTCATCTGAGTAATACTCAAGGCAAACACAACGGGAACGGAGCATCGTCTTGCTCGTGCAACTGTTGCTTAGCAAGATCCTGGCTGGGTGCTTCACCGGCTTCAGTGAAGAGATATACCGCCAAGACTTCTACGGTTAAATGTGATCGATTTTCTCGCTGTGGATATTAAACATTGACGTTTATTATATTATATGCTATCTCCAATCCACCATACTGTATCACCTACTAATGAAGTGATATTTGACATGAGATGCATGGAAATTTATATACAGTCAAAAGCTAGAAGCCTCCCCTCTCCTCTCCCCCACCATAACAGCCCCGCACTCCACGGCATATGTAACAATACTCGTGCGCTTATCAAAACAGCATCGGGATAAAAAGGGAAAAGGAAAAGAATCAAGCACCTCACACAACGCCCCAAAGGGGTTGAAAGAATGGCGGTGTAAATGGACACTGTATTCCAAGGGACAGATGTGGAAAAAGGCAAAAGGTAGTGATGAGAAGGGGATTCGAACCCCTGCGGATTGCTCCAGTAGAATACGACACTGCTGTGCAGCGCAAGACAAGCTTGAGTCTACCACCTTAACCACTCGGTCATCTCACCCTGGACATGTAGTAATATCCATGTTGCTTGATTTGACGGCACAAATTTTCAGTCTATGAATGTGACAAAGCATAGAGCAAATCTTTGATTCAAAAAACGGTCGACTGATACCCAGTGACAAACAGAACATGATTCAGCCATATGTTCTTAAGTATAACCATACAAGGAACTACAGAAGACTTTACCCAAGTGTCCAAGACGCTAGAGGTGTGAATAAGAAATAAGACAAGAATTATGCCACGCTTGATATCATGTCACCTATGGGCCATGGCAGTCAAAGCACGGAAGGACACTCAGCTTATAATATATTATATCACGTTCTTGCTAAATCCCTTAGATATCATGTCAAAAGCGACCATTATCTCGAAACCAACATACCATCGTAGACATGATAACGCAAGAGATGATCCACCGGGTGTGCTTCAACCTGTGGGTGAAGCCTTGAACAATACGTTCACAGAGCTGGACTCACTCCAATCAAGGGAGAAATAGTTTCATAATAACTTATCATTGTTTATTAATAACACTCAACCCATTGCACTCTCCCCTTGCTGACTTTCATGGAGGAGGGAAGCACTCGAGTGCCTGGAGGAAGCTACGAGAACGACTCAAAGCTTGGATACTGGGTAGTCAAGGACAAATTCAATAATACTGAGATCATCAAAGACGTCTTCTATGCTCAATGAATATTCTTCAATGAGCTGGCAATGGAACTCAAGTTAAAGTGTTTCAATAATGATCCAGTAGACCAGAATAAAGAGCACTAGCAAGGTGGTACATTACAGTCCAACTGTTCTCTCGCTCTAATCCCACGTCACATTGTCAAGTGGCATGGTGGCTAATAACTCAACCCCCCCTTTTGGTACGGGGTAGAGCTATACGGGTTCAGATTATTCAGAGCTTCAAGGCTGCCAAAAATAATTGATTCTTAATTACTCCGATAAGTCTGGTAAAGAAACCAATCTGATCATAGTCTATCGATAATGGATGAACACAGCTCACCGTCATCATTGGTCTCGCTACGTGAGCCACGTATGGAGCTGTTCTAGAGCACTTTAGAGATGATGAAATAAGCAATGAGTAATTGCCCGGGAGTGGCCATGACTATGGCAGCTCTTGCCGGGTCTCTCATCGGACCGGTAATTGATATCCGTTGTGGAGCTTAACTCGCCATCAGGTTCTGCTAACAAGGTGGGGTGTAATATGGATGAGACGAGACCCCCAGCATCACTGGTTTGAACATGTCGTGACCTGCTCCTATAGTAAGAATTATCCGCAGGTTATTTTACAGTAGGAGGTCCTATCCTATTCTACGAGCTTGCCCTGCACGATTCGCTCTCATTTAATATAAGCTCATAGCAACTCAAAAGTTAATGAACTGAGAAGCATTCTACGGCACCACTTGGAGACATCCGTAAACATGGAAGACTTCGAATACTCACCCAATCCTGGCCGAGTTATCTTTGGAAACGGCACAATCAAAAGGCTCCCAGACGAATTAAAGCGGTTGAATCTTTCAAGGCCGGTTATCCTCTCCACACCAGAACAACTCAGTCAAGCACAAGGCATTCAATCTATTCTGGAAGGACATGTCGAAGTTGTCGGCATCTTCTCGAATGCTACTATGCACACTCCTGTCTATGTCACCAACACGGCTGTGGAGTTCTCCCGCGCCGCCGATTGCATTGTTTCCATCGGCGGCGGAAGCACCATTGGTTTAGGAAAGGCTATCAGTATCCGCACAGGATTACACCACATTGCCATTGCCACCACTTATGCAGGTAGCGAGATGACTCCTATTCTTGGGGAGACAGAGAACGGCCAGAAAACCACGCGATCAGACCCAAAGATTCTACCTGGCACGGTTATCTACGACGTCGATCTAACTATGACCCTGCCAGTCGCGTTGTCTTGCGTTAGTGCAGTCAATGCGATCGCCCATGCTGTCGAGGCACTTTACGCTCGTCAACGTAACCCGATCGTCGAGCTCATGGCGGCAGAAGGCATCAGGGCACTTGCATCATCCGTGCCTGAGATTGTCGAGAATCCCGACTCACGCTCGGCGCGGTCAAATGCATTATATGGGGCGTGGCTCTGTGGTATTTGTCTTGGGAGCGTTGGAATGTCGCTGCATCATAAACTATGTCATACCTTGGGAGGAACTTTCAATCTGCCGCACGCCCAGACACACACGATTGTACTTCCCCATGCTCTCGCCTATAACGCTCCCAACGTCCCCAAGGCCATGCAAATACTAGCTCAAGTATTGCCCAATAGTGATGGGGACGCAGTGAAAGGTCTCAATGCCCTGCTAAGAAAGCTAAAAGTGCAAAGAGGTCTTCGGGAGCTTGGTATGAAAGAATCCGATGTAGACGCGGCAGCTGATATTGCTATGAAGAATGCGTACTGGAACCCGAGACCTATTGAGAGAGATCCTATTCGAGAGTTAATCCGAAGCGCGTGGGCCGGGGAAGATGCTAGATCCGATTTGTAACCTACGAAGACCATATGTCAAACCGTGCACGTAATGGTGTATACGCATCAAGACGGTGCCAAATTCAGAATACTGTGTCACCAGAGCTTGGTAAAGGAAAGCCTTTGATATATACCCCTAGACATTGGCTGATGCAGGGAACACAAATCAAAATAATAGGAAGCTTCAGAGGGGGTTCATCTTTTAAGACATTCTTATCTCAGCAGTGTCTAGCACAATGTAAAACAAAATGCAGATCAAGGATGAATAAAACAAAATTCCTTTGGTTGTGTTACTTCTTCCGCACCAACGGCGAGTCCACAACTCTATCTTTTCTCCCAATTACATCTCTCACTACTTCCTGTAACCAATTCGGCCATCCTCTAAGAGAAGACACAACGGCTCGAGATTTAGGTACGAAGATCTGCCCGCCTCGCCGCGAGAAGATTTGCTTGAGGATAGGGTCTACAACCTGGTCTACCCCAAGCAACAAGCCTCCAGCAGCTTCGACCTCAGCCCAATATGCCTTCGTCATATTTGTTTTGACAAAATCAGGTAGCACGATAGTCGTCATCACACCGGGAGCCTTGTACAGATGCTTGATCTCACAGGTAAGCCCCTCGTGGAAGGCCAGCGCGCCGGCCTTAGTCGCAGAATAGTCCACCGAAGTCGGTAGTGCCACGTAGGCGGCTAGACTGGCCATCGTAATCACATGCCCTTTATTTTGCGATAGCATGTGTGGGAGGAACACCTTCGCGGTGAACCAATGCGCCATTAGATTCACGCCCACGATTCTACGCAGGTGGTCCTCGGGCTCATCGAGGATGGTCGTAGTGCGTACGATGCCGGCGTTGTTGATGAGAATCGATGGGGGACCAAAAGTGCGCTCGATGAGCTTCTGCGCCGCTGTGATCTCGGTCGGGGAGCTGACGTCGCATTTCACAAAAATGACGTTCTTGTTGTCTTTTAGTCTGCTAGGAAGCTCATGTACGTCGAGCACGGCGACTTGGACTCCTTTGCTAATCAGGCCTTCTACAAGCGCTTGACCGATATCTCCGGAGCCTCCAGTTACGACAGCAACTTCACGGTCCCATGCCCAGTCTTGGTTAGCCGTTATACGCCAGTTATTTGTCGACCATGCATTGAGCGCGTTGTTCAAGGCTCTCAAAGAATTTAACCCCAAAAACAGACATAAGATAAGCTTCACCGAGACAAGCCATGGAGGGCTTAGGAATTTGGAGACTGGGTTCGCCTCCAAGGTCTCCGGCACATAATATATAAGAGACAAAATAAAGAGAGAGAAAAGGATGTGTTTTAGGGTCCCATTGACGATTGGCCTAAAAGTGTGACTAGTTGCATCTTCAAATGAAGAATGTACATTGGCCATTTTGCCAAGGGTCAGCAGACTTCTATAAGCTCAAGTCAGCCAAGTATGGGTAATGGATCTAAGGTACTACTACAATAACTAAAAAAAAGTGCCTTACCTTGCTAATCGCGCGTTTTGATCAAAATATTACGTGGAGATGATGGGAGGAAAAAATATAAAAAACATACAACACCAGGGATTCGCTGGTCGTCACCGACCCAACTACTAATCTGGCGGTATCTGGCTTAGCTAAGGGGGAGCGGACGGGACCCCGCGTTCTCCAGATCCTATGGTCGTATGTGATGGTCACGTTTGTTTTTGAAGTATATATAATGAGGTTGTTTGAGTTGAGATATCGGGATAAGCTGCAGTGATTAGTCATCATTTCGGGATTTTCGAGGTGTTGAAGTATTATTATACATGCCCGCGATGCCTTCAGCAAGTGGGCATACAATCAACATTATCACCCTGGGTTCTACAACTTCCCCCTTGTAATCGCTAACAGGTTGAATAGAAACCGGCGAGACTGGCATCATACAAGTTAAGAACCGTACATGTAGATAGATAGGATGTTGTCTCTCTGTTGAATGAAGGTAGATGCTACCAACTGTCCTAATTAGGCAGTGCGGGGTCATCATTCATCTGACTTATTGGGCCACCACATCTTTAGCTACTCGACATTTTCGTTAAGAGATCTCCCACTTGGAAGTTCAATTCTCATCTACCTACGCACATCCTCTCCGCCTTACACGACCCAATACGTAAATGCGCGCCTCGGCTTCAAGTTAGCCTCAATGAGATTACCCCTTGCCTTGCCTTGCCTTGCTTAGCCTAGTTAGACTGGGTGCGCTACGAACAGAGCAAGCGTCTCGGAGTATTCGCAGTTGACGTCAATGGTGGGGTCGAGAACCCCGCTGTCGGCCGCGGGGGTCGAGAAGCGTGTCTGTGTCACCCGGAGCCTCGGAGCTGCAACCGTGATAGGTTAATCCACGACACCGGCGTTACTGCAACACAGACTTAGGTGGGTGGTGGGTGACATAATGTTATCATAACTGCGTTGCTTTTTTTTTTTTGTTCCCTTTGCCTATGAGAGCTGCGCATTGGCGTATCGGAGATCTTAGTATCGCTCTTATGAAGATGGGGATGGGTTGTAGATGTAATGTGGCGGTAATCTAGTAGGTAGATATAAAGAGGCGAAAGACCGCCATCTGCTCTTTGAACAATGCAGTGCCTTGTCATTTATAAACACCTACATATATCATTCTAATTCAAGCTGAGAATTTCTCCCTTGCTAATAAGCCGCAATATCCACACATTCTACATACCAGTTCACACGTACATACACACCACAACAATGGCGCCAAAAGTCCTCGTCGTGTTGACGTCCTTCGGACATATCGAAGCAGCCAACAAGCCAACAGGCTGGTGTTAGTATCCCCCGCCTTAAACGGGATTCGAGCCTCATTTCTCCCGCATGTTCCTAACAACATGAGCTCAAGTGTTACTCCTTCCGGTAATTACTGACTCCAACGCGTGAACAGACCTTCCTGAACTTTCCCATCCATATGACGTCCTGAGCAACAACGGCGTAGAAATCGTGACCGCTTCGCCAAAGGGCGGGAAAGCGCCTCTCGATCCGGCGTCGGTGGAGATGTTCAAAGGCGACGCTAGCGCGCAGGCGTTCGTGAACGAGAAGAAGGCGGTATGGGAACAGACACAAGTCCTCTCGGCCTTCAAGGGTCGCGCCGACGAGTTCGCAGCGCTGTTCTACCCCGGCGGCCATGGCCCCATGTTCGACCTCGTCGACGACGCGGACAGTATTGCTGTCATCGAGGAATTCGCCGCCAAGGGCAAGGTCGTTGCCGCCGTGTGCCACGGACCCGTCGTATTCGTCAATGCGAAGAGGGCCGATGGAAACCCGCTCCTTGCCGAGAGGGATGTCACGGGGTTTAGTAATGCTGAGGAAGACGCTGTCGACATGTCGAAGTATATGCCGTTCCTGCTGGAGGATAGGATCAAGGCTGTCGGGGGCAATTACAAGAAGGCTGATCAGCCCTGGGGTGAGCTCGTGCTTGTCCAGGATGGCGGAAAGCTTATCACGGGACAGAATCCTGCTAGTGCGAAGGGGGTTGGCGAGGCTATTCTGAAGGCCATCGGTGCATGAATGGGGGATGTTGGTAGGGATGACTGAGCGGCGATAACTGTATACTAATCACGCAAAAGGCCCGGCCGGACTGTACTAATTCTCTATTTTAATAATCTCTAACACATGTTTCGTTACGATCATAATGTCATTCTAGTAATGCTCAGAGGAAAACAAACTAGGATCTTATGACGATGAGATCGACGGTATTGTCCTCATTTGGTAGGTACTATCTTCATTTCATGCTACTTACTGGCTGACTAATGCAATTCATTAATTCTATGCCGTTTGAAGACGGCAGAAACACGATGCTTTGATTGGTACATCAGCATTTCTAATGGCGGCGTCTAGTTGAGCCTTGATAGCCGCAGCCTTTTCCAGATTACCGAGCTTGGTCAAGCACTCGTGATAGCCATGAAGCGACCACACATTATTGGGGTGCTGTAGTGCGCGCGGAAGCGACCCGCCATACCCTAAATCTTCCTCGTAGATCTCAAGGGCATCGCTATACCGACCCTGCTCTGCAAGTAGGGCACCAAGCGCATGGCTAGGCGGTTGCATCCACCCCCACGGCTCGTCGTATGGGAGGGCATAGCTTAATTTATTCGCATTGCGAAGATGAGCGAAAGCAGACTCGTGGTTCCCACGTCGGTACTCGAGCTCCCCGTCTAACATGGCCTCAGCTACTTGCAGAATGTCGACACATTTATTATTGAACAGCATTCGCGACGCGGGTACAGCTTTGTAGGCTTTGGAAAACAGTTCACGTTCCTGTTCTGCCTCTTCGACTCTGTTTGTTGCGGCTAGAGCGACTCCCTTTGCGTAGTGGACCATAGCGGTCGTTACGCAGTATAAAGTTGCGTCGTTTGGTAATGCGAGGCTGACGAGCTCGTCCCATCGTCCAAAGCGGATTAATGCATGAACGCGCATTGCCAGGAAGCCCTCTAGCCAGTCAGCCATCGGCGGCGACTCGATGCGCAGAAGCTCTTCGGGTAGCGCTGCTTCGAGACGAGCCACAGTATCGAGGGTGACAATAGACTGGCCCGCAAACATAGCAGCGTAAATGCGGAAGTGATAATCGTGCATCCGGTATAACGTGTAGAATTTAAGAGGATCTTCGCGCGCAAAGAAGACTTCGTCTGCGAGGATCGCCTTCTGATTCGAGTCAATTGCGGCTTGGTAGTCGCCCACGAGGACATCTATGTGTGTCGGCATGTGGTTGAGATGTCCGGCATGAGGAACGAGGTCGCGCAGTGTGTTCGCTGCTTCCAGCGCAGCCTCTGGCGTGGATGACATTTCCATAAGATGAATGTAAAGATGGAGAAGTCCTGGGTGGCGTGAACCACCATCTAAAGACATAGCTCGTTCTATGACGGCCTTCGCTTCGAGCGTATGCGCCCCCGTGGCGGGTTCGCCGGTCTTCAGATCCCAGAGTTGCCATGGTGTAAGATTCATTAGTGCATCTGAGTATAAAGCCGCCACATCCAGATCGTTGTTGAATTGCTTATACACTTCCCCCATGGCATCCGCGTAATTTTGATTCCATATGGAGCAATCTTCAACCGCATGCTCGCGAGGATATCGTGACCTCAAAGCCTTGACAATAGCCTTCTCCACAGCCGAGACGTTATGAATTGCCGCCAGGGACTCTGCCTGTTCGACGGCTCGATGGGTTTGCTGGACTGTAGCCTCGAGTTCGGTTGCGTCGAAGAACTCCCATGGCTTATTGTAGTTTGGTCCTAAGGTATACGCCAGGCCCCAATATGCCATACAACAGTTATTGTCAGACTGGATGGCACGTTCGAAGCACTTCGCTGACTCCTCATGGTTAAAGGCGTAGCTCCATATCAGGCCGCGGTTAAACCACTCCAGTGCCTCTGCATTGCTGGCGCTAATAGACCGGCGATATGAGCCGAGATCGTAATAGCTGCCGTCTTCCCTACTCATGCTTACCGAAGGAGCGCTACTGTCAAAAGAATGTGTATATACTTGTAATGCTATTTATCTTGACTACATCGCCCCCATGATGCAGGCAAACTTGATTTGTACGTCAGTTCAAATTTCGTATTTAGAGGTATGCAAAGAGGCACATGTATGTAACGAGGTCTTGAATCTACTCAGGTAGGGCACCAATCGGATTGAATCGGCTCGGAACTGAAAATCAACATGCATCAAGAACAAGGTTAGATTCCGATTGACTTGTCACTGCGGCTCAATTCTGAGCTATTTGCTTGTTTACACTGCTCCACGAATATATCTCATAATGGTGTAGAGCAGCACATCCATCTTCAGCTCCTTAAGCTCCTGGCAACTTGCTTACCAGTCAAATCAATCACCACTCCTTACTCGCTAATAGTGTTATTTCGAGAGCTCTCACAAGGATCTGGGCTATTTGATTGACTCACTGTTCATCGCCCGTCACTCGGGTTATACCCGAGAAAGTAACGAGCTTTCATAGTGTGTTCACCATTGTATTACTATTCGGCTTCGAGATTAGGCTTGTCATAATGACCTGTGAACTCTAACCCAAGCATCAGCGATGTTCCAGGGTCTAGGGCGCTGCGGAAGTTTATAACAAATGGTTTAGACCGATTGCAGAAAGGTTGCTGGAGTACCATCCACGTCAAGGCTTTAACTACTAGACTTAGTCGCTGATCTTCCCTAGTCTCCATCTGAACCACTAACCTGCATTGCAGAATCAACTGTGGGATTGATAGCCCCATCCTACCCGGCTCAGGTCATGAGTTCGTTGGGTTTGGCAAAGATGTGGATATCAAAATAGGATCTTTAGGCATAGGTTGTAGATTACATATAACAAGCTTAGCTCCTCGCCTTTTCCCAACAGTTTCGGGAAGTTCGTTCGATGACGAGACTGTCAATGTCAATGACGAACCAAACATCAAATACAGGTAGGCCTCTTCAAAATGGTCATGCGCACGCTGCAGAGGCTCCTCAAAGAGATTCGCCTCAAAATTGATCGTATCAAGCAAGGGGCTACCACTACTGTAAGTGCGCAGTTTCTCCCCGTACGATGGTTATGTATTGAGGTTTTATCTGCCAAACGGCACGAAAATCTGGCCACGATCAAATATTCGGGCAATGGACTATATGGCATCGATTTCATAAACCGCGAAAGTGTTCTTACCCGCAGTTCTGGCAATATTCTCTATTACTATTCCCGTGACGCTTGGACATGTTGTCCTACTGGTGCCGGCCCTCAGCCAAAATCTTACTCAATGAAGAAATCATGGAGACTCGGCAGTTCCTTAGTGCCCAAACGCCGTTGAGACCCCGGAAATCTGCTATGCCTGTGATTTTTAGTTGCGGTGTGTCACATCGCTTGTCACGCGATTTATCGACCCTGCAGAGGTAGACACGCTTGCTCCTCTGTATGAGCTTCACCAGTACATCGACAGTCTTGCCTAGAGCACCGGAAAGCTCTTCAGAGTCTTCACGTTCCGGTTCGGCAGCTTTGGGGACCAAGCTCGCCATCTCAATGTCCGTGCCATTTCCACGGACTTGAGTTGGGGAAGGTAGTGGTGGGTTTGACTCGTTGTCTACACAGTGACGGCTATCTCCGTGTTTATCAGTTCTAAGTGGGACGAACTGTTTTGCTTTCGCACTACGGTAGGATCGAAACCACGTGACACTATGTGAAGAGGACCTCATTAATCTGGTAGGGCCCGTGACGTTTGAAGGATCTTCGTGGGAGAGGAGTGGTTGTCATGCCATCACAAGCGTCCAATGTGACCCTATATGAAAAACACCTCAGATTTCGACCATCTACCATGATAAGGACCCTTCATACTGTGAGTCGATGCATACCGAGTGGCTTCATCATGTCCTTGTGCACATAGGATTTTGGTGAGTGTGACATGGTTTGAACCGCTTTCGGATGTGATCCCAGGGTTCATCAACTCAACTAGCTGCGACCTGCACGATGCAGCGGGTTGTGGGATGATTTAAACAATACATAATCCCTAATACCTAGCGAATGGAGGGGTCGCAGGTCGAGTGCCGTCCGGCCCGGGCGTTGGACCTGAGTGCCTATTGTACAGCTACGTACAGCCTGTGCCGTCTTCCGAAATAGATTCTGACGGCGGGTTCGATGTGCCGGGATGGGGTTGTGAAGTCTTCGTCCCAATGTGGTGTCTAGTAGTTGGTGGCATTGAGACCGCTGGCTCGGCTGGTTGGCTTAGGTACTCTGTACATGTAGTGTAGAGACAAGGCCGTGGATCCCAGGGCCCCATCCATGTTACATGATGACACCGAATGGATGGAAACGACGTCGAAAGATGGCGCACGACGGCGTGAAGTAGAAAGCTTGATTATCGATAGTACAGCTTCATTCACGACCTCTTGCATGAAATTCAAGCGCAAGCTCTGAGTAGGTACCTCCCTCGATACTGAAAAGGTACAAGGCATGTACTTCGTAGGTACGATGTAAGTAGGTAGGTATGTTTGGTGCGTTGGGTAGGTAGGTAGTCTCGGGTCCGTTTCGTTCTGCTGCTGACCCTAGATTCGGCATTCGGCTCTTGAGCGTGTCTTGCGCGACAATAGTTGGCCTTGATGGATTGAAGCCACAATGGAGAAGAGGAGTCTGTACTAGCTGAGATGCCACTGACCGCAAGGTACAGGGCTACCCGTAGGTCCAAGAATTCGGTAGGTAGCCGCGCAAAAGCCGAGGGTTCGGTAATAATAGAGTACTTGGATGTAAGTACACACATGCGATCAAACAGGTCAAGGCAAAGAAAGGTCTGGACAGAGTCTGGATTTCGTCTATCGATCGATATCACCAATAGATCATCCAGGATCAGGATCGGCATTATCGCCCGGGTACAGCGCACAGGAGGTGGTGGTACCAACCTGGGTACCTACCTAGGGAGGTAGAAGTTCAAATTCGGCCGAGTGTACTTCGGCAAGGTTTGCCTGATTCAAGCCAACACCATACCTAAATATTTGGTCAGCCTCACTGCACAGCTCTAAGACATGGAGGGTGTATAGCTTTGCGCGCGCGAGTCAAAAACCGACGTTTTGCAATTTTGACAGATGTTGAAGATTAAGTACTACCTCCCTACATATACTATGTACATAGTACATTACATAGTAGGTAGGTAAATACCTACCAGCACGCTAGGGCTTCCCGTCGTCTAGTACCTACCTAGGCCCTACTAAGTGCCTACGCTAGCTAAGAACCGTTAAATTGCCTACGTAACTGCTCTCGCTGCTGGACTGAATAGCAATGCCTACTACAACATTGAAGGTACTTACACCTACTATACTTACACCGAATAAGTAGGTAGGTACCTAGCTACAGGTAATACTTAGTAGATCGGGTAGCTGATCAAGTGCCATTAATACATTTACCTGCTGATTTAGTTACACGTAGATACCTACATAGGTAGTGTGTACAGTACAGTAGTAGGTACTTAGGTAGGCGCTAACTAACCTACTACCTTAGGTAGGTAGAGACATGATAGACATGTTTATAGCGAGGCAGGCGCTATAGCTCTAGGCGACTTGGGGCCTACAAGGAGGTACCTGATGAACTGCCCTGTGCCAGCTGCGGAGCCACAGGAGCATAGTTCCCACTGGTCGGCTCAGGCTCAGGCTTGGCCCGGATCATCGGCACAGCCCAGACCCCATCCCTGAAGTTGTTGCGGGCAGAAACCGTTCAGATTGTCTATGCATCGCTGCCGTGTATCCGTCTCGGGGCGGGAAATGCTTGTACAAAGCCCTCATGGCCACTCATAACCCCTCTGAAAGCGTTTGGATTCCCCAGGGAGCAGCTGGTCTCTCTTGCATCGCCATTTCGACTCTTGCCCTGCCTCAGCCTCTCCTTCGCCAGCCCAGTCGACGGCGTCGACGACGACAGCCGCATCAGCACCAGGCCGTAGCAGCAGCACAACAATAATCATCGCATCCAGCAGGCCGCAGCGGCAGGGGAGAGTGTCGCCGGAGATATCAGCAGCTGCTGTTGACTTGATTACCGCCGTGACTGTCATGCGACCTGACACTCAGTCTTATCGCCGTCACGGTCGCCACCATAGGAAAAACTCAGCTCATCATCGCGTTCATCACCCATCGCGGTCATCATCATCATTAACGCTCTCGTCACAACGTCATCATGCCTAACAATTCAGACTACGAGTTGAGCATCTACAGCAGAGATTCTCGTACTCGTAGGCATACTTTACGACCATCGTCTGGCGGCGAACCTCCGCCTCCAGTCAGCGATCTATTTAGCTTGCCCTTGGAACTTCATTACCTCATCATAGGTCATCTGGATCTCGAGAGTCTTTTACAGTTACGGAGGACAAGTCGTCTTTATTATTATACGATAACGCCCGATCTTCTTCGCCAGCTGTTCGTCCGCAATGGCCGTGCCTCTCTTAGCTTAGCCGCTTGTTGTCACGAGTGTCTGTGCAGTCCGGGACTCGATCGTCTTGTCGTTGACTCGACCCTTGAGCCCTTCTCGTGGCGATCTGTATGTTTTCGCTGCTGGAGTAATCGCATCACCGTGGACTATCACATCAACCCATGGCCTGTCATACAAATTGCAAATGGCGAGGATGGCTACATATGTCATTTTTGTAATTGGCCTGTTGTGAATAACGGTCGCGATGATGGCGTCGACCGCCTCCATGCTTCTTGTCGCTCTAGAAGGCGACTTGTTCTCCTGCTTTGGTTTGTTATGGCCTTCTTGCAGTTCGGCATTGGCGTACTGTGTGCTGTTTTGGCATGGACACGTTACAAAGAGCAGGACAACATCTTAATCCCCTCGAGCGTACGTCTAGACCTTCCTTTCCTTCCTATTACTATTCATTCTCCCCTAACCATCCTTTAGATTGATTTCGCGCTGGCTATGATATCTGTCGCTGTTTTCATCTGCCGCATTTGCACCAACAACGAAAAGAAATATTCTAGGCTTCTCTTTACAGAGCTGGTCCTAACCGTTTTGCGGATACCCCCGGTTGCTTATTCTGCTCGCTCTACGGTTGTGATCAAGAACGATGTTAGCCTGCTTCCAGAGGTCGGGTTTGGGGTTTTCTTAATAAATCTGTAAGTTATCACATCGTTCCTCCTGTTGCGGTGATGACTCTGGCGTGCTCATTGACTTGCTAGCATCTTCCGAGTATTGGATTTCATAGGCCATGCTTTCCTCAATGCCGGTTACGACCCACGGAGATTCCTACAAAAGGGTTTATCTCGAAGACGAAAATTACTCTATGGAATCCTAACCTTTTTGGTATATTTTGCATATATTCCTTTCTGATGTCATATTATATTTGCATAACGGGGAAGTAAATACCGAGCCCGGCGCGATTGCCAGACATCTTGGTACAAAAGATAATGATAACGCGATCGTATGCTTGAGTATGGGTACTGACATGATGCACGAGACATGGGTCCTGGAGGTGTATCAGAAGTACTGGCAGGATTGCTGCATTGAGTCAACGATCTCTCCTGCAGACATTACGATATCTTCCAGTATAGGAATCCGTACAACTATCAGTGCGAGGATGAGGCTTTTAGGCAATGAGCCAACCAAACCGACCACGATCATATATGCATGACACCTGGTGTACGGAAGCGCAAGTCGAGAAAATGTTAACTCAAGCAATCGACGCGAGAGGCCCTCGCACCAATTTGATACCCTGACAACTTAACAAAGGAGTGACTTCGACGGCCAGAACTCTCGAATATCATATAATGTATATAAAAATATTTAGGCTTGACATAAAAGAACAATGAAATGATCTTACTCAGCAGTTGATTGTATTTTATGATGAATGATAAATTGATGAACAAATATATGGATTGGGTCGTAAATTGTGTTCAATAGCATGTAGAATTTATGATGTCAAGGCTTGTCTCACCTACCTACCTAGGTAGGTGCGTAACTTTTCCTGACATGCGACTGTCACCAATACGACCAACGCCGCCTCACTTCGACACATTGCAGACTCGTCAATCGCAGAGGGCCACCATTTGTCCATATTCATAAAAGACCGCCCACAGGTGTGAGCCGCCATGGTGGTGGACATGGCTTCCTGCACATCCCTCACTCTCAAGGCTGATAGAGAGTAGCAGCGCAAGTAATGTGAGAACTAGTAGCTCATTCTCATACATTGTGCTTGGCAATAAGGTTCAACGCGGACTTAAGCACGTGTATGAGCTCAAGAAGTGGATAAAGTTACGCATTATAATGAGAAGCTGAAGACGACAACATTATGTTATAAGTCACGCTTGGTAGTTGCGTGAGGAGAGTACGCTTTCCTCTCACGACCGTTGCCTGGTCGCTGTGCTTGTGAGTCGCATACTTCTTATTTATCTCAACAACAATATTTCTTCAGTAAGCTGGATCTATCTGACTGGCCTTCACAGGAAACATTGATAAGATGAGAGATTAGGATGAGATGAGACACATCCGATGAAGACAATGTCGCAATCTCATGCGAAGAATATTCAGTCATCTCGGAAGTTTCAGTGAGCCTAGGTGTAAGTAAATGAAAAAACATGCACCTCGCTAGCTAAGCTACCGTAACTTCTGCACCCACTATCGGTAGCTCGCTTAGGTACGTTACTCCGTACTTACACACCTTGGAGCGTACCTTGGAGCGTACCTTGGCGACAGCAGCCAAGAAGGCGAGATGGTACAGTGACAGTACAGTAGAAGAATTCATTTCATGTGCATCATCGAACAGCGGGCGTGCCAGGGAAGCGCGAAATTACCGGTATCCTGATTGGTCCGCTTTGAGGGCGATGGGGTCAGGGGTTGCTGTCGTAATCGCGCATGTGGGACTATCGAGCTTGGAGAGTCGCCGAGGGTCGCCTAACCAAATTGAATCGATACGATGGGGGTCGCATGATCTTGAGAGGCAATCAGAGGACGCGATTTGGCATCAAACCTTGGAATTCCTTATGTAAGGCGGGAAGGGGTCCTCAACCTTCGCTTTAGCGATGGCCTGTTGCTTCCTGGCATTATGTCGATAAGTTGTTCGGTTTGCTTGGTCTTTGTCGCTCGTTGTCAATCATTTGCTCAGTAAATACCAACCCAGTCCGCTCGTTTACATATTCGTTGGCGTGTTGAGTTCACTCATGTGCTAGCTGTCCTTATAGCGCGGAAATCCCGGCGCTCCAATCTGCTAGCATAATAATACACTTGTCGCTCGTTTTATTCGGGGAAAGGGAATGTGAGAGATCGAAAGCGCAGTTCAATAATGCGTTCCATTGTAATTATTGCGGGAGCCATTGCTGCAGTCTCCGCGTTTCCGACGGTTGAGAACTTAGCCCGGCTTGCTCGACACGATGGACTGCCATCCTTAGCTGGCGAAACATCAATTGAAACGTTAAGCGAGCAGTTGACACGACTGGAGAAGAAGAGACTGCTGTTCGATCCTTTGACCGATCCTATTGATGGTACGCGGATATTTCATGCCAATGCAATCTGGAGAGACCACATACTGACAGACCCGGCAGTATCTGGAAAGCACGCATTCAAGGCGCCAGACTTCGAGCATGGGGACCAACGAGGGCCATGCCCAGGTCTCAACGCCCTTGCCAATCATGGCTACATTCCGCACAATGGTGTAGTCAGTGTATGTTTTCACGGAACTGCTCTTTTCTTAGTAAGGTCTAATATCAACATATATAGCTCGTAGAAGTAATTGAACAAGCTAATACTGGTGAGCTATGCAACGAAATTCAAGTGATGCTGGAATCGATATGCTGACAAGATGGCAGTGTTCGGGATGGGATTGGATTTGGTCGGAATATTAGCTGGAGTGGCGACCTTATACGTAGGGACACCCCTATCGCTGAATCCGGGGTTCTCCATCGGGGGAATGTCCCCAAAGTCTGAAAACATTCTTGGAAATCTTTTCGGACTACTAGGGAAGCCAAGAGGGTTAGATGGCACTCATAACATCATCGAGTCCGACTCGTCAGCCACGCGGAATGACCTCTACAACACAGGGAACGCACACACAATGAATTTGACACTATTCCAGAAGATGGCCAAGTATGCTGATGATGACGGGTTCATTACCATGGATGATCTCGCGGACCGAGCTGTCGAACGCTTTTACGAGAGTATCGCTACCAATCCGAGCTTTTACTACGGCCCGTATACGGGAACGATCGCTCGAAACGCTGGATACGCCTTCATGGGCCGCTTCTTAAGTAACCACACAAAGGAGCATCCTTTAGGCGGCCATCTCTGTACGTTTACTACTCCTTACGCTATTATCTCTCGTATATGAGTACATGCGAGGGTATATACATACTAACAAGCTTTCAGCAAAAGAAGTGCTCGCCAGCTTTCTCGGCGTCTGCGAAGAAAATGGGAAGCAGGTGTATAGAGAAGGGCACGAGCGCATCCCGGAGAACTGGTATCGCCTGGCGGTGGACTACAGTCTGAACTCCTACAACCTCGACCTCGTGGCCTGGGTTACCAAACACCCAATCCTCCTCAGCATCGGAGGCAACCTGGGCGAGGTCAATTCATTCGCAGGCGTCGACATTGGAAATATCACGGGCGGCGTTCTAAACGCCGCCAAGTTGCTCGAGGGCAATAACCTTATCTGTTTCGCACTCACCGTTCTCAAGACGTTCGTGCCCAGCAGCTTGACGTCGTCTATCTTTGCGACCCTTGAGCCTCTCCTCAATTTCGTCGATGATATTCTTCTCCACCCGCTGCTTGACTTGTCGTGTCCTGTGTTCGCCGACTTATCGCTAGGTGGAACGGATTTGTGGTCTGGGCTATTACACCGCTACCCTGGGGCTAGACAGGTTGGCATGGCATTTTAAGGGGATTCTTCTATGCAGCTTGACAATACTTCAATTCATGATATTTAGTACAGGGATTCTATATGATATGATGTGTTGCCGTTGGCGCGCTCCAGTGTCCCAAAATCAATATACCTCCATCTCTGATTCAAATATGTTGTTACATCTTTCTGCGTCGCACCCTCAATGTCTCAGTTAGAGGGGGCGCAATATGTCCGAAGAACCACTTGTTTGCCGGTCGATTGGGTATCGGCTCGATGTCGTACAGCAGGGCGATGTGACCCAGCGCGATCTTCAGCTGGTTAGCCGCGAAGAACCTGCCTGGACTATGCCATTGAACTCAAAATTAGTATGAGACGATCATCCATGGTTCTCGAAAAGCAAGTCTTAATTGAACGAGGGACTGAAATTACCAGGAATGCGAGCCATGACTGAAGCTCATGAATATGTCGCTCGTATTGACGAGCCCCTGGGGTCTCTTCTTCTCCTCGGTTTCCTGGCCGCGCGCAAAGCGGAACGCATCATACCTATTTGCACCGGCGTAGTTCGCTTCGTCGTGATGGATGCTGTATCCGGAGACCCCTACCTTTGTACCGCACGGAATATGCGAACCATCAGGGAGCGTGACGCCCTCAGGGGCCACCACTTTCTTCATGATTCCGCGCTCGACGAAGCCGTTCAGGCGTAGACTTTCGCGTAACGCTGAGTCGATATGTGTCATTCGCGACAGGGCTGCCTTGGACCAGATTGTCGCCGTTGAGCCCTCAGCTACATCTAGGACTTCTTTGCGCATTGTAATCAGGGATTCTGCGCACTCGCTGGATGCCGCGAGGTCAAAGATGGTGTTTGTGAGTGTTATCACTGATGATTGGATTGCCGCAAATGCTAGCACTGAGAATCGAGAAGCGATTACGCGCGGGTCGAACTCGACGGGATTCACAATTGGTTTGGCGAAGGCGTGGTCTAGTGCCCATTGCACATAGTCATTCTAAGCTCTGTCAGTAAATTGATGCCAGCTTATAGTCGTTTGAGCTTAATTTAATTTTATCCCTACGTACACGTCCTTGCGGATCTTCTGGTGCAATTTTCAATGCATCCGGTCTCCTCAGCTCACTAAGTCGCTCGCGGATGATAGGCATGAGAAAGCTTCTACACCGACGATACAAGATATAGTCGAAAACTGTGAAGATTGGACCGACAAAGCTGATTTATTTTAAAATTGTCAGCGCTCAATCTTCAAGAGATTTTGAAATATAATACCAGTTAGAAAACTTACGGCTTCAGAAAATTAGGGAACAGACTGATTGCTGCAGCAGTTAGAGCTACCTTGCGTATATAATTGCCACAAATGGACGTGAAAGTCTCATCACGGCAGAGCTCACGGCCCATGAAGACTCGAATGGACATTCTCGATATTATGGGAAGCATGGTGTCGTAGACCTTCACCTCGCGCCACTCCTCCGTGTCCGTGCCCCAGTACTCCTCAAGGCCAGCAAGCACCTCATCAGCGATATCGTCAGTAAAATTACCAAGTTTCTTGGTAAGCTGATGCTGGATAATATCTGGGTGAACGGGATTATCAACCATGTTTGCATGGAAGAACGCGTAGTCGGCCTGTAGAAACTCGCGATTCACAAGCTCCTGGCTTAGCACGTCGTCGGCTTGCTCCATGAGCCATGAGATCTGAGACGGTGGGAGCACCACTTGTGGCCCATTGATGAAATAGGGTAAGACATATGTCTTGTCGTTCTTGGAATACTAGTTTGACGGTCAGCTTACTGGTTCACTATATGGATAGGAGAGACAAAAAAAAATCTAGACTGGACTAATATTGAGCCATGCTAGACTGGACTAGATTCACCTTTGTGTAACCTTCGTCTAGGAGTCTTTTGAGATGGAAGATGCTTGTCAAATTGCTCTTGGCTCTGCCTAGACAATTGTCAAGCTTTCCCACCCCGGCCCATGGCAGGTTGCTGGGTAGTGAAGCAGTTGAGAATATGCGACGGATTAAATTGAGAAATGTGATAAGCAGAACAGCTGTTACCACTGCAGCCAATATTTTGGGAGCACTGGCGAAAGCGATCTGCCATAAAGTCGCCATTGTTATGGCTTAGAGGAGCTTAGGAGACAGATGTCGAGGAAGTAGGTGTGATGCAGACAGCTAGCAATTTTCTTTACAATCTAGTGACTCTCCATGTTCGTCGCGCATATATAACTGACTATATAGTAACTCGTTCTCGATGTTACACGTGATGATCTCTAGGTAAGATGCCACAGCGAAGAATACGGAGGCAAGATATTGTAGCGCAAAGGCTAGCACGGGTTGCTGATCATAAACAATCCCTGCGTTCCACAGACGTAGACGCTAAGTTTCGAGGCTGAGCATATTTCTCACAGCAGGCTAGGTATGTCGCGTTTATGAATCATGGACACCGGAGGAGAGGATAAAAAGAAACGAAATAACGTTTTCAAGGCTTAGTGCGTGGGAATGGGTAGCTTGGCAGGAGCGTTAAGGCATGTATTGAATAGGGTGCTTAACTCCACTTGAACGAAGCTATTCGCGAGCGTGCTGACCACACCTTAATTGACTCCCACCTGAGCGACCTGACACAGCGCTTAGTTTCGCTGCTCACGCATTCTTATAGCTACAGCACGCGCAGCTGAATCATCCGTATTCAGGAGGGACAGTGCGTGGGATGAGCAACCGTGCGGGCTGTTTCGATAGCGTACACATCCCTTGCTGACGACTGAAGTTATCTCGTGCCAACCGGGCCAATCGCGCGCCTATAATGGTGTGATGCAACATTCCTACCTCGTCTAAGGCCTACCCGGTCCTCGACCAACCCGCCCCAGTGTCCGCACCCCGCCCGCGGTTGACAGATGCAACGCTACGTGATTATCAGGACGTAACAAACCAAAAGAGGAGAGTCAAGAATCTTGCACGGCCGAAAGAGGTGGGGCGTCACAGCCGGCCCGAAGCGAGATGATGGCTTGGGGACCCCAGCTTACCCGGCTGAACGAGGCAACTAGTGCAATCTCCCATCCGAGCGGATGGCACCTGTCTCTCGCCCGTCTCGAGTGTGGTCTCAGGTTGACATTTCTGGTTCTGGACAAATCCCCATTATTACTTGCGAGGCGTTTTGGTCCAATCTTTGGTGAAAACAGGCTCGGCTCGTCTTCCCTGTCACATGCAATCAATAGCAATGTCTACTGTCCTGTACAAATCACAGATGCTATGCTCGCGTACCTAGGAGATAACAGTGGTAGGAGTGTGCGTGTGTATCTTCATGGCACGCACCGGTAGTTGGCATGATGAAATAGGGCTGCAAGCTGTTACACCATACCTAAACTAGGTAGTCATCTCTTGGTAACGAAGAAGAAGTTCAGTATTGGCGGAAGAGGCGGTTAACTCCCTCCTTCATATAGGACACCGCACTAGTGTAGGGCGAAATGCAGAAGATGGGCTTGACTTACTTACTTACTCTACTTACTTAGAGTACACTATCCTCCTGGCCACGATGGGCTGACATTTCCCTGTTTGGCATCTGACGGCCGTCCTCAATCACGTTTTGCAGTAGCCACCATGCCAGATGCATGTGTTAGTCGATAACGTGCATGGTGAAGGCTGCATGCAGTTCAACGGCGGCCGGTTCATCCAATAGACGCTTTCGGCTTGACGTATGGGAATATCTTGCGCCTCACCGCGACCTGTTTTCTTTGCTGTTGCTTTCGTGTTGCGATGGAGGAGCGCTGTTTTCTTGTTTCAGCTCCGTCATCAACAGCCATGCGATACAGAAGAGAAGCAAGGGTCGTACGACTCTGCGTTAGAGCAAGTTGGGATGCCTCCCCTTGTCATCTTCATTGGCGAGCGAGGGGGATTTCCCCTGACCGGAGCATGCCGGAGGCCAATCAGCTTGCATGCTATGCACACATTAGGAGATTAGCGATAAAGATCACCAAGTCTGACAGTTGGCCACCCTTGTCGCAATCTAGTCAGCTGTGACCCAACTTGGTGGTCCAAGTTTACGGACTGAGATCCGTACGGCTACACAGTAGATATGGGGGGATTCTATCATTGTCCGTTAACAATGGCATTGTGAATAATACCGGTATCGGCAGAATATAAACTACCGTACCTGGCAGTGCCAGAGAGAACAGGTTGGATGCTCGAAGCGAGCCAAAATAATACGACCCAAGCATCAGCCACCTACGAGGACACTTGGGGTTAACTGGGGCGTCGATGCTGAGTTTTGACGATACAAGAGACACTAAAGTGACGTCCTGTCCATATTAGCTAAGAGAGGCTCTTGGTGGCTTGCGAGCTGGGCCTTTGCACCATGACTATAAGGTGATAAATCACATGTTTCACGCTCTTCCAGCGCTGCACAGTACGCTGGTACTGCCCTACACGGTAAAGGGGGAACTTAGTCTTACCGAGCGGAAAGGAAGCAAAGTGCATGGCTGGTCCGGGATGCCTTTCCATGTAAGATTTCAGGCTGAGTCTGGACTTCTAGATGCTCGCTTATGCAGTGTCATCAAATTACCTACATGGAGGCTGCACATACGAATGCCCCCAAGTGACCATCCGCCCTACCACCTACCTATCTATCTATCCACGGTCCTGGGATCATGCTTTCAAACAGAATACCACTACACATCCTACTCATCTAAGAGGTTGGCGCTCCTTCTGGCTATAATTGGCCGGGGATTGTGAGAGAGCAACGCGGATCCTCATCACCTTTGATCAAAACTTCGGGGATAAACCGCGATCTCCCTTCCACGTATTTGACTGCCTTCCCCAAGCCCCCTACTTGAAGTTGAAGGTATTTTGAAGTAACGTATCCTCGAAGAGAATAACGATGCGGAGGAGCTAAATTGACGAGTTGTCTTCCTGATACAAAAAGTCGAGGTATGTCTAGCTCCAGCTCGTCATTGGCTTGCCCGGCCTCACTCCAGCTCACTCCGGGCGTTAGTCTCTCTTTCGTGTCGCCGTCGGATACCATATTCAGATTGAACGGGCGTACAATTCAGTAGTAGGTACAATTGGACTGAAACCACAAAAGCAAGATACTGACAGTTTCCTGAAGCCTAGCGTTCCGCTCTATATAAAACAATACAGCATTAAGCAAGCATCTACAACAATGTTGTCCCTCCTCGTTATTTCACTCACCTTCCTCGCTCATCTCGGTGCCGGGGCTCCTGCCCCTGACCTCCTCGGGCTGCCAATTGGGCCCCTACTGCCGCCCAATGCCACCGGTCCACTCGCTCCCGTAATCAGCCGTAAGTACATGCCACATCCCACTGTGACCTCTCTCCCGACTTTGATGTAAATCCCTACTGAACAATGTCCTCCAGTTCTCGCAAATTTAGGCAATGGCGATCCCCCGAAAATCCTATGGACGCCGAACCCCTCGCCAGAGTGCGCCAAAGAAGTTGGTGGCAACGGCGGAGAGCTCCAGTGTTGTCGGGTCACGATCGCAGGTGATTTGCCGATTGTGGTGTTCCTCGCCGAGATCTATGGGTATAACCTGAACCCCAACGATGTAAACGGGGTCATCTGTGAGTTCTTCCCTGTTTTCTTTCTTATTATATCTTTCTTAGGTTTTCTCTCGGCGTGGACGTACGGTCTGCCTCCTGCTCACGAGACACCTATCGCTTTCTGGTTGTTAGAATCTAGTTCAGGATGAAAACTAACAATATTGATTTCATTAAATTAGGTGATAATGAGATTGATAAGTGTCCCGGCGTGAGGGTATGCTGTCAAGTTAGCGCGCTTGTGAGTTCTCTTCTCGAATGTCCTACCTTTAATGTGTCTGACAAGAGTAGAATCCTCTGTTATCCCTGTATTGTGCAGACTATAATCCTAAGAAGAAGAGCATCGGATGATATACCCTGGACATATTGGGCACTGATACAGTCAGTGCCATAAATTCCAAAAGGTCACGACTGAGTGGTCAAGGTGTACGACGGACCAGTTCTCACATCATTTGTTGTGGCGACTTAATATTGTTCTTTTACTGTAAATTTCTTGCTTTCATTCCATCATGTAAACTGTATATTACTGAGTTGGAAGCTGCCGTTACCTGTTTTCATGTAGCTAATTCTCCAATATTATACAATATGTAGATGCAATGCAACGCCGGCGTGCGAAGCCCATGCCTTTATGTACAAGCGCACTCTTCGATCTAGTAACTCTATGTGGCTTTATTTTTACAACCGTAATGCTGTACAACTAATTACTTTTGGCGTTTCAGCGTCTTCATAGCCATATCGATGAGGCCATCTTTTGCTTCGCTGTCAGGGAAAGTTTCGAGAGCAGAGATCGCCCGTTGAGAGTAGTCCTCAGCTAACGCTCTTGTTTGTTCTATTCCATTACTTTGGATGACGAGATCGCGTGCCTATTTCATCTTAGTAAGACACAATTAGCACGGAAAGTGGCTATTAAAACTTACCTTTTGTACGTCACCTTCCTGGCTGAACTTCCTTCCCACCAAGGCGCCCAGCTCAGGAGTGGTCTTCCATGCAAATAATAAGGGGGCCGTCGCTAAACCTAGCTCCAAATCCGCACCGGCTGGCTTTCCTAGATCCTTCCCAGACTTGGTGTAGTCCAGCATGTCGTCCACTAACTGGAATGCCAAGCCCAGATTTCGGCCATAAGCATAGGCCGCATCAACCGTGATCGCATCGGCCCGGCCTAGCAACGCCGCTGCTCTACACGACTTCGATATTAAGCTCGCGGTTTTGAGGTATGTCTTTTGTAGATAATAATTGAAGATGTCTTCAGAGTACGTGGGGTTTCGCTCGTCGCGGGCCGTATTCTTTAGCTGCATGAACTCCCCTTCCACTAAATTTGCAATCACAGTAGCTAGAAGCTCGATAACTTCAGCATTCCGCAATCGGGCCAACGCAACAGATGCTCTGCCGAGCAAGAAGTCGCCAGCTAGCACTGCCATTTTATTACCAAATTCGAAGTTTGCAGATGGTGATCCTCGACGTGACACAGAATGATCGACCACATCATCATGAAGAAGCGATGCTGTGTGGATTAGCTCTGTAATTTCAGCTAATCGTCGCTGTGATGGGAGAATATCGCTTTCCGTAAATTCTGGTTCGGATGAGTAGCCAGACAAGGGGAAGGAGGGGTTAACGTCGGACAATATGTTGAGAGGAGATATTGAAGAGTTTATAGAATCTTGTAGGGACACCGGAGTGGAATCATTCTTAGGACAGAGAGCTGAGGCGCGAGACATTAGAAGGACTATGAGTGGCCGCACGTGTTTGCCCTCGGCTTGTGTGTAATATTTAGCAACTCGATCTAGCGACGGGTGACCGGACCCTAGAAGTTGTCTGATATTCCCTGTCAAAAACTTCATTTCCTTTGCCACAGTCCGGAGCGGGTCGATATGCATATCGCCCTTGGTGGCCCTCGACACAGCGTTCGAGACGACATTGGAGGCTACCGAGACAGCAGCGGCCCAGGCGGAGGACCGTCGTGAGGAATGGTGGTACAAGGCTCTGAAGGTTGCGCTCGTCGGACTGAGCAAAGAAGCTCTTCTGCAGTCGGAACAGATTGAGGAGACAGCAGGGCGGCCAGCTGCACGCGCATGGAGCAGGACTGTTCGTAGCTGCATATCCGCGGGATTCTGACCTCGATGGTCGCAAGGGCCCAATTAGCTGGGCTGGGCTGTCGAATAAGGATATTAAAGCATATGGCAGGCGCGGAAGCGAGGCGGCAGCTCGACTTGGAGGGAATTGGGCCGGGCCGGGAGCGGGAGGCGGGGGGGCGGAGGTTGAGGGTGAAGTTATTATTTCTCGTTGCGACCCGGGAAGAATGGTTTTCTCGGATGATGCCGATAATTATTCGCCATTGACTGGAACGAGGTACACAAAAATTCGATGTAACGAGCTATCCAGGTACTCCCCGGCGTATTACACTAGATGTGGTACATGCTATCTGTACGTGCCACCTGTAGCAGGTACACGGCAACTATCGTACAGTACCATCTGGTGGGGCTAGCGTGCTGTGGCTGAACCTCGGGCGGCTGAGGTCGGAGGTTTAGAGCACCGACACCACCTAGCTAGGGCACCCTTTACAGCAGGTACTTACCTGGTACTTAAGCTTAATTAAGCTCGAGCCAGCTTCTACCAGTAGGTAGGTAATTCCACTTCAATGGGAGATTACCTACACAGGTAGGCAATGCTGGTATAAACCCCTAGGTTTCCACCATTTTACAATGGCCCAGAGCACTCGCATCATCGCCCGACATCGAACGCAAACATGGTGCTCCTAACGATGACATCTCCGATGGTGGAGGCGCTCACGATCTTGAGGGATTCCATCGACTCCTCCATACCTTCAAGTGGCACTGCTCAGTCCGATGATGCCACGCCCGGTGAACCCTGCATGAAGGACCCTGCAGTTGGGAAACCTATAAGCCATGGACAAATCCTCGCGACAATCAAGACACTCAAGGCAAACGGCCATGCTGGGTTTAGACTGGAACATATGCTGCGTGGATCGGCTCTCTACGTGCCTCCGCCACCACCAAAGCCTGAACCAGTTCGTCCAATCTACTCAGTGCTACTGACGATCGCGGTGGTTAGCTAACAGAACGCAAGACTGACGAATATAAAGCCTTGATGGCACGACTTCGGATCGAAGAGGAAGAACGGTCGTACCAGCGCATGCTACGGAATGCACCCGCACGGGAGACATTTGCCGAACGATTCCCCCTGGCTCCCATGGCGCATTCGTTTGCTGAAGTCAATAAACCGTCCAGGAAATCCGACGAGGTTGTGGATGACATCGAGTTCGGAGACGTACAGAAGCAGATGACCTTAATCATCAACTTTCTAGTCAGCGTTTTCGGATGTGGAGCTGCGCTTTGGAAGCTTGCCCAGTGGTGGCCTGTATCGAGTCGATTATTCCTTAGCTTGGGCGGAGCCATCATTGTCGCCATCATAGAAGTGACTGTATACTCTGCATTCACGTGGAGAATATCTCAAAGCGAAAAGAAACAAACCAACAAGAGGGAAGTCCGAGAGGTGGTCAAAACGTGGGTCGTCGGTGATGAAAACGCTGAGGTAGATCTTGAAGAACCGACTCCTGGAGTCAAAGACAAATTGCATGGGCTGGATACCAATCTTCGACGACGGGTAAAGGAGAAAATATGAAGATGTGTTCCTCCATTAACTCACTATTCTTTTAATTAGCTAATTACTTCACTTCTTCACTTCACCATTTCTATCTCATGTAAGCCCTGCCTGTGAGTGCCATCATCTCACAGCTCTCATAATCCAATTACGTAGAGGACATGCTGGCAGCTGACAACCAGCTGGCGGGCGATCTGTGATACTCGACCCGCTCTGCAACTGCAGCCCCACCCCACGTCACAATTCCATTCTCTCGGGTCGCGACGCGTCTCTTGCTACCCATTAACGCGTCTTTTAAGTACTCAGGTATCTTTTCCTCAACAATTCACTGGCATCTTGTTGAAATCATTGCTGTCTACCTCAATCGCTCTATTCCGGAGATATTTCTCCTTGACGACTATTTCCTGATTACTTGTATATTCAACATTGGAATCGTTTCGCTTTTTTGTGTGCTCTATGCTGCCATTTTGAATCTCTCCAAATGGATCTGCACAACTGTCTGGCAAAGCAAGGATTACGGTTAGTTAACAGCTCCAACCATTGCTGTGGCGGCTTCGGCTGACGTCGTTATTACAGGATGTCAAGGAAGCCAGAGCGTCCATACATCTCTTCTTTGAAATCATCCCCTATGGGGCCCCGTCGACGAACGCTTCGAACCTACGGCAAACGCGTATTATCTATGGAATCGACCGAGCCTCCCTCAAAGCGACAACGTCTCAGCGGCTCTTCTGTTACTTCTATTGAAGATAAAGGAATCGATTCTATCTCCTCGGGACCTGAAGAGAGTGCCACAGGCTCATCATTAAGGTCTTCACCAATACCAACGAGAAAGGGTACAATTACTGCCTATTTCGGAAAGATAATACCACAGCTTCCGCGTGTTTCACCGTCCTCAGAGCCTTCCCCAGACCCAGTATCGGAGCCCAATGAACTTACAAGTACATCGCCATCATCGCCACCCATTGCCACTACTACAAGAACGAGAGGAGCGCGGAGGTTGAAGACTCGTATCATCAGACGGCGAGTAGATGAAGAAGAGAGTCTTGATAAGGGCCAGGGAAACCAGGATGGCGAAGAACGAGTGGATAATATACGCAGCACGGGTCTGTTCACAAATAAGGGCGCCCCCATGTTGTCGGAAGCAACACCTAGTGCTTTGAATCGGAGCCAAGGCATAACTAGGGATGGACCAGAAGGCAAGAAACCCCGAGAAAGCAGGCGACGAGAGAACAGAACAGCCTCAGTGCAGACCACATTGAGTCTCTCGACGAGAGAGACACATTACACAGAGTGTAAGGAATGCGGCATGCTATACAATCACCTCCACGAGACCGATGTTAAATACCATGCGCGACGCCATGCCTCGCTGCGGAGGGCGAAGACTCGGGCTAGTTCTAGGAGCGACGCAGTTGATACAAGTTGAAATAAACGGCCTGTGTGCACCTAGAAATTGTTTTACTATCCTAGTGCTAGGCATCTATGGCGATGGTGAGGCCTCTAATCGGTCAAATAGGTGATGTTTATGTGCTTGTATTAGTAAGCTATCCGTGCTTAACCAGACTAGTCCATGACACGTAGAACAAGATGTAAATATAATTACTCTAGATATACCACGTACCCAGTGCAGAATTCTTCTAAACTTCTTCGTCCTTGACCTACCGCTATAGCACTATCCACCCTGCGGTGTATTTAAACCACAGGGATTAAGCTAGACGAGACATATGGGTCACCCAATGTCCCAGACGTAGAGCATTATTTTGTATGGCATCCCAAGTAGTAACGGAGGAGAAAGTAGGTATTGCTCATTTAGAGTATTCAATTGTTACGCGAGGCTAGGCTGGACCTTTCTCATACAGCGCAATAGATCTACCAGAAGTGCTTGCGGTAGACTGCGCATAAAGCTTCATGTCAGGATATACACATATGATGGCCAGTGTGGTACGCTCTCACATGGACTTCAAACATCAGTAGTGCTAGATGTATTAGTCCAGAAGGGCATATCCATCGCAAACGAAGGATCCTTGAAACAACAGCGTCAAAAATCGAATACACGAAACCTGGGAAAAGGCAAATGGAAGGGGTGGGAACTCACCAAAGTGCTGAAGTCGAATCCGAAGAGAGCCATGCTGTCAATCGTGTCCGGCGATGTATCGTCCGCCCACCCGACCTCCTCAGCATCACTGTACGCGGGCGCCTCTCGCAGGAGTGTAGCGCATTCATACAATTTGCGCCGAATCGTATCGAGCATCGCGGCTCTGATATCGCGACCGACCTCCATGGCTTCGATCTGGCTGAGTATGCACGCCAGGAACAAGTACTGCTTCAGACTCGGCCGGCCGAGGAGTATGACGTGTTTCCACTGCACCTCGGTGTGGCGCAGATACCGCATGAGCGGCTCCCTCTGTTTTCGGGCAAGGAGCGCGAGGGGATCGGTGCGGGGGGCAGGAATATCCTTTTCACACGGGTCGTGTAGACGATCGCGCTCCTCCTCCTCGAGCTGCGTTACAATCTCAAGTGCTATCCCCAGAATCACATCCTGCCCTAGTGCGCCCTTGAACATTCCGCTGCCAGAGATGCAACAATAGGAGAAATCGTCGAGGACCGAGCCGGGGAGGTCCATCTCTTCAGTGTGTGAAGCCATGATCAAACAGGAGTCTAGATTAATCTTCCGTGATGGTAGGTAGCGGGCGTCGTGGCGCGACTGATGCATAAAGGGGCGATGGAGGAAGAGGATTAGCCGCCGGAGGTATGTGTCGAGGAACTTCTCGTGGAATCCCCGGGTGATGGTCTTTTCTGGTCCTTTGATCTCATCGGGATGAAAGAATGCTGTCAGCTCACGGCAATGTGTTTGAAGACTGTGGGATAGTGAGATGATTCTTTCGTACGAAATCTTTTGGCTGCAGTCGTTCAATTCTCGCACTATTTGCATGCGTAAGCGCAGCGACTTCGAAAACAAGATTTGGACCGAACAGTCCATTGCTTCGTGGTTCGTGAATGATTGGTTCACTTCTGAAATTTTGATATCGCCGAGTTGGGAATCCGAGATGTTCGACGGTAATGGGACATCATAATCGCCGGCATATAGTAGAAGTGGAAGGGTAGAATTTAAAGAATTAATCGTGAGCAGCTCGAGGACTGTTGGCCAGAGGCGTCGGCGCAGCTCGGACTCGAAGGGCGTCACTGATGCGTGGCAGCGAGGGTCGATGTGTAAACCTAATGTGAAGGATAGTTTTGACAGAGCCTCCGTGATTATAGATGCCGTTCCACCGAGCGAGCTGGTTTGGCGCGCCAATAATAGGAGGCAGAATACTTGGACCCCGTCAATGCTCATAGCGTCACGCTCCTATTTCTATGTTAGCAATGGCCCATGAAATAAGTGAATCAAGCTTAGGAAACAGTGTGCCTCAAATCTTACCGTGGGACCTGTAAGCCACCATTGCACAGCATACACCCAGTTACGAGCAGTACGTTTAATATCTCTCGCTATAGCTCGGTCAGTTAGGAAGATGGCACCGGTAGTGAGTACCAATGTGAGCTTCATGAGAAACTCGGTCCGGGCTAGGTCTGGCTGACTCCAGTAACTTTCATACTCCTTGATAAACGAAGGAATATGGAGAATACGGAACATTGGCTCGAAGGTTCGAAGATAGCCATCCACCGCTTGGTCACAAATGCTTCTAGATGGGATACTCTTGCGAAGTCCAGGCATAGGCTCTTGCAGAAGGTTAGCTCCGTGATTTTTAGCGCGACGACGAGCACCGGCAGCTTCGAGCATAGGTCCATTAGTCAACCCCTGTTCTCCATCAACAACGGAGTATGGCTTGGACTGCATTTGAGAAAGGATGCGGAACTGTCGTCAATAATTAGCCAGGAACAAAATTACACCAATTCACAAACATAGTACCTGCTCAAGTGAATGAACCCAATGCGTCTTTCCAAATAACCTTGTTTTTTCGTGCTCTGCCCGGAGATGTGGATGTGGCAGTTTGATTTGAAGGTCGGATTGGCCTGATGGTCTTGACTGAGAAGGCTGCGAGGTCCCGATGTCTCGCTCTATTTTGGATAGTCTAGCTTCTAGTTCCTTTAAAGAACTGTCATGCGGACTGCTGTGCCCGGGCCGTTGTAATAGTTGCTCTAGGACACTAACTCGATGGGACAAGCTCGACGTTGAGCTATCACTGGCACGATCTATACACGGTGATTCAACCGAGCTGGGCAGATCTTCATTATGGGGATCGTCAGATATACTGGCAAGAACATCCTCTTCTTGTATGGAGTCAAGCGGACGGGTCTTTGAGGGTTGTGATACAGATACGAGGTGGTCCGACCTGTAGGTACAGAGCAGTGACGCCCTTGATCTCATACAAGGCCGGCATGGAGATCCTCGGTCGCACTTGATTTTTCCTAATTAGATAAATTAGGTCTATTGTAAAATAGAGAATGATAGAAATTCCAGCTTTGTGAGCCCCAATGTGCGGCTTTCTGAACAGGAGTGCTTACGAGCTCGGCAAGGTTCACAGCTCTTAGCTTCTCTGTTACGATGGCGTCTGCGAGCCGCGGGGTTAAGGTGTTCGGTCATGACTTTGAATTCGGTATACAGCTAAAATCAAAGGAAACTATTTACAAATGTAAGGCTGCTAGAGTTGAATTGGTGAGCTGGGTTTGAATACCTCATCGAAATCTCGGTACTCCTGGAGCTTTAAACCCGAGGATCGCAAGACAAAGACCGAAGCCGAGGTTTACGTAAGACGATCCGCATTTGACCATTACTAGTAAATAACTCGGCGATAAATAGGAAATAACCATATGCTCAGGACTATTTCGATGCTATCGCAGCCGTGCCAGCAATTGCAGCTGCATTACCATCGGGCTCGTCACGTTCTCCATCGCAGTCCCATTTGAAAGGACCTATAAAATTCGTGGAAATGCAAACTGGCTGCCGCAGACCAACAACGGGAAATAGCCGCCCATGCACATCCTGAAATGAGTGCTTCAACAATTGGCCGTTTTTCGTAAACCAGATCTTGCCTGTAGTAAGATCTACTCCGCATCCCACTGTATCTCCAGACTGGTATCGAAGTTCCCGGTCCGAGAACCCTCCTTGCCCATCGCCGGTGCTACGGTAAAACCCTCCGTCATCGCCGTGATAAGCCCACGAAGCCGCTGATTTCGCCTGGTCCCGCGGCGGCCACCCCGGGAAATCGATAGTATCACCACGCAGGGTGCAGAAGCCTATGGCAAACTCCGGATATTCTGCTATGGACTGTGTCTCAAAGGGCTCGCTGGTGATTTCGAAGTAGAAATCATCCAATCCAGCCGGCAGTGGACGATCCGTAGTGACACAGATGCGTGTTCCGTTCGCGTAAGTGATTTTTAGACCGTCCTCCGAGATGGCACCTTTGAGATCGCTCCTTTCCCATCGACCTGGAAGTAGCCCTTTCCAAGCTATCTGTTTCTTGAGCAATTGTTCAACCTCAGTTCGTTGGAGCTTTCTCGCCAACTCCAAAGGTGTCCAGCCAAATTGGTCCCGAAGACTAAAGTCTGCGCCGATTCCCTGAAGTTGTCTGATGATCTCAATGCTGCCATTCTCGGCACATAAACACAAGAGTTCCGCGTCATTTTTCGCCGCTAGTGGATTCTTTTCGATTAATTGAGAGATGGTGTCTTCATAGGAGCTCTGATGGCTGAGTGCCCATTTCTCGTAGGCAAGCACAAGAGCTGTTCTGGAGCTTTGGTCGTTCACTAGAATCTTCGCATCGGCGCCTGCTTCAAGCAGAGCCCTGACACATTCGGCATACCCTTTCCATGCTGCACGGTGAAGTGGTGTCATCCCGTGTCTTCGGTCTTCTTGGTCTAACTGAAGACTGGCTACATCACTGTTTCCCTTGACGTTATCGATCAGCTTTCGTACCACTCGCTCATACCCAGCTGATGCTGCTTGGCGGAGAGGCGTCCTCAACCCTTTCGTGGCTTTGTTGATCTCGGAGAAGGGGACTTTCTTCTCTAGCAATGTGTCTAGGATGAAGACAGCCGTATCTTCCGAATTTCCTTGACAAGCGTAGAATAAGGGATTTCTGTCGTGCGAGTCCAGGCAATTGATCTCAGCGCCATGCTCTAGCAACTTCTCGATGCATTCCTTTTCTCCACTCCAAGCAGCTTCGTGAAGGGGCGTTCGCCCGGCTTTGTTAGTACGGTGGATATTTGCACCCTTACGAATTAGCAGGTCGACACACTTCACGTGGCCGTATGATGCTGCGAAATTCAGAGAAGTGTTTCCAAAACTATCATCGTCGTCAATCAGTTCAGCATCACGAAGCAGAACCTCTAGACATTTGAGTTCGCCCCATATACTAGCCAGTTGCAACGGCCGCCTTGAGTAGTTATCGTCCTCGTTAACATTAGCACCACGATCCACTACACAGCTAGAGTTAGTTTGAATCCCCTTTTCTTGTTTGTGTCTCTGAATGCTATGCAACAGTTGATAGTTTCTAACCCGAACATTGCCACGGAATAGCTGGTGCTGAAGATATATTGGAAGCAGTACTTACGAAAGGCCTTCAAAAGCTCAATAGGAACCTCTTTTCTCCAAAGTAGGACATGTAGAGGAGTTTCCTTGTCTTTGCTCTTGATATTGATGTAATTGCTGCTGGCTTTAACTGAAGAATGATTCAAGATGAGGTCTAGTGCATCGGGGTCTTCTCCTTTCCAAGCCAGGTGATGTAGCGCGGTAAAACCTTCGAGCCTGCCATGTATAAGAGGATCCGCACCATGTTCTAGCATGAGCTTGACTGTATCCACGCTGGCATCTTGAATCAGCCATGTGTGGAAAGCTGGTGCTGCATCTGCTGACTGTGCGTTAATATCGCCCCCTCTCTCGAGGAGCAATCTTAGCATTTCTGGGCTAGCACCTCTCAGGGCGCCCGCTTGTAAAGCGTTATATGAACCTGATAGTTCGTTTGGGTCTTGCTTCCGGTCTAGGAGGTGCTTAGCCCAACTCACAAGGCCTAGGTAGGAGGCTACGTGAAGTGGTTTTCTTGAGGATCTCAAATAAGTACTCGACTCTCGATAGCTGAAGACTCTTTGCCAGGATCCAAAAACGTTTGTATTCTCGCAGAGGCGGTCAAGTTGAGCAAGTACTTGCGTCCACTTATCATTTCCTGCACGCTCTTCTTCGCTCCACAGGTCTTCAGCCTTGCGAAGGTGATACGGCCAGTAGTGAATTTCGTATCTGGAGCTGAACTCCGGGACCGGGTCAATATCCTCTTCGGTTCCACCAGTTGGGTTCTCTGCATCATCATCCTCCTCATCTACTGATCCATCGCTGTCATCGTCATTCTCTGATTCTTTGGTTTCACCGTCAGGCTTCGTTTCCGCGTCGTCTTTCTCATCTGTAGTAGTTTCATGACGTGCCACGAGCGTGACAACATCTGCTTTACTGGTACCGTCGTTTATCGTCGTACCCCCTTCCATGTTGGCGGCATTTTTCGTGTTCATCTCAGGAGTTTCAGAGGAGCCATCTACGAGAGGCTGCTCTTGTGCTTTCTGAGGCTCTAGCTCTTCAGTAGCTAGACTAGTTTCATAGAAAAGTAGTTGCGCCCTTTTCTGGAATAGAGGGTGGTTGAGGTGGCGTAGTGAAGCTAACGCAATGTCTAAATGGCCTTCCTTTTCAGAGACAATTAGATGTTTTGGCCCTGACATGAATACCCCACATCGCGAGCACATATGAATTTCTTCATTTTGAGGGTTTTCATGGGAGCTCTGATGACTAGCACCTTCGACACAGAACTCTCTCACTTCAGTATAGTTTCGTAACGAAACAAAACTAGGGGAAGCGTCGTCAAGTTCCATATCTAAGAAAGGGCCTTGAGTGTCTTCCAATTGAGTTTTCTCTAGATGCGAGGCTAGCGGGAATACTTCAGCACTGTATTCACCCGTCAGTGACTCGTTATCTGGGGTATCAGTTTGGTATGTGCCTCGGAAAGCATCCATGACGACTTCTACCGTTAACATCCTCGGTCCTGGTGCTAACAAACACCAGGTAACAGCGACTCGTAGAAGATCTAGGTAATTGGGCTCCATCTTTTGTATCGCCTCTTCGTAAGTGTTGGATACCTCGCGAGGCTCAGGCAGCAATTCCAAGTGCTTGTCTAGCGGGCCCTGGAATGGCTGGCGGATGAACGGGATCCCGGTTTCCGTGATATAGTTGAAGTTTGGTCCGGCTTTCTTAAGTATGATGTTCATTGCCTTATCCGTTTCTTCTTGGGTTATTCCTTGCAACGATTTGAGTGCCGCAGATAGCCGGGTTCTCATATCTTGATGATTGCGATCTTCCATTTTCAACTCCGTATACGCGGACCGCAAGGGCACTCTACAGCCCACTAAGATTTTGATCTGAAATTTGGAAGGTTCCAAATCGGTAGTCGGGTTAAGTACCATCCGAAGCTGGTCGATCAGGTGCTTTTGGTCATCAGCTTGCAAAGCATCAACGGCGTCAATGATAACAACGATGGATCGTTTCAACAGCGCAGATAGTTTTGGCATGGCTACCGCAAGATCCGCTAGACTGTCGTCATTCCCAATGATATGGGCTATACCCCCTCTAGCTTTCGCCGTTGGCTCACTTCCTCTGGTATTGCTAAGCTCAGCGCTTTTAGCGTTAGAGAACACTGCGTTGCAAGCTTCTAGAAGAAGCAAATCATTTCGCTCGCTCCTTGCTTGGATATAGACCTGATACAATAGAGAGTTGCAAACTTTTATTGCTTTAGTGTTGGTCTCGCATGAGAAATAGATTGGAATCGTATTATCTTTGTCCATATTATCACAAAGATGCTCGGTGATGAACCCTAGCAACGTCGATTTTCCGGTACCTATGTTAACGTCAATATGATTCACTATAGCAGATTGATAACTAGGGTGACATACCCTGTCTCCCGGTAACCCAGAGTAATTCGTTGGAATTCGCTTGGTGCCACTTGAGAAAATCCTTATCTTCGAGTATCCATTCACATGTCCCTGCAAAACGCCTACTCAGTGCTGTGGTCAGAGGCTCTTGCACACCGTCTTCAGGACTCAGCTTCTTTTTCGTCTTCTCGAAGTTGACTATTGCAAAATCCCAGGGGGTCTTCGGCTTGGTTGTTGCCTCAATGGATTGCTTCACCGCATGTATTTCGGCAATGAATTCTTCACGGTATTTCTTTTCACTATCATGAAAACTTTGCATATCTTCCAGTGTCTTCTTGAGAGATTCCATATCAGCCTCTTGTTTATCATTGAACTTGAGTGATTTGTCCTGATATGCCGCCATGCTGTACTCGAGCACTCTTGACTTGCGAGTCTTGATTTTATCGAGTAGATCTTGAAATTTTAGTTTTGATGTGCCAAAGAAATCTGCGACAACGTGAGTGACCTTTGATATCGAGCTGGCTGAAACATGCCTCTTGATCTCAAAAGAGAATCGAAGAACGGCTATGTATGCTTCCATGATGTTGTCGAAGAGTATTCCCACCAATGAGTCCTTTCGCGCCTTTTTGGAACCGCTGTCATACAGATTATCGTAGTGCGGGATCAATATCATAATCTCTGTAATATCTGTAAGGCCAGACCCGAATAACGAATAGAGCTCATAGTTGCCTTGAATCGCCGATAAAGTTAGTCTGACAGCAAGCCAAGCAAGACCGGCACTTTCTGGCGCCCCTTCCATGACGAAATTCCCGACACTAATGAAATTTTGTATGTTTTCCATGATCTTGTCGATCCAATGAGCTGGTACCGTTACCTTGCCAATCTTTCGATCACCCCATTTCTTGTCGGTATGAGCCTTTAACGACTTGGCCTCTTCAGCTGCTCGATTGGGGGCCTCTCGTGTTGCCAGGAAGTTCTCGAGTAGTTCATGTTCCTTCCCAGGTTTAAGCTCCTGTAGCATCTGGGTTCTGAACGCCGCAAGGGCTTCATTGTACAGCCTCGTCGCGGACATGATCTCTCCCGTGTTGAAGATTGAAAAGTTTGTTAACTTAGGTACACCAATGCAACACTGGCCCACTAACTCATGGCCTATCTGCGATCGGTGAGGAGTGTATTGTTGAAACTTGGAGGGGACAGGATTCACCACAATTTTCAAGAACGTTGAAGTATTCTAGATTATGTGATATTATAGTCCATTCAATCATTGAAATCGAAACGATGTAGGCTAGCTTGGCACAGGCCTAGACTGTTCTTTAAATAGAAGTGGGCAAATATTCCTTGTGCTTGCAAAGGTATTTGGTTGGCCTAAAATCGACATCACTATAAGCTGTCATCACCACTTACCGATGTTGGAATAGCTTGAGCCCAATACCACCAAAGCCCCGCATCTCATGACCCTTCAACACGAGTTCTACGGTACCTAGTTCTTCTCAATGAGACAACCCCAACCCCCTCCCTCTGGGGGAAAGCATCTTTGCTCAAGAGCACTCGACAAGCGGATGTTTATTGTCCAGCAAAGTGAATGAAGCCCATTTACTGTACGCCCAAACAACTAGTAGTCTGTAATATTGCCCCTAGGTCTCTAATAATCCCTGAGATTTTGCTGCATGTAGTCAAAGTACTTACAAACTACTCAGATGCTGCTGTGTATAGACGCTAGTGAGTATCAGTTCAGTATGGTCACGCTAAGCATTAACTAATACCTTCTAATGATAAATCAAGAACTCGACGAATGAGGAAGAAGTACGCTGAATATGTGTCTCATGGCAATGAAACTTTCCTTTGGTGCAGCTAAGAGAATTATACTTATGCTAACCGATGCGTCTTCCTACGCTTGGACGAGACTGACATCATCAATATAGAGACTGGGCACGACCCCGCTGAAGCTATAACCGCCATTATTGAAGTAGAATTGGATGTAAAAATACGGCCACTCCCCCGAATTGAAAGAACCCGTGTACCGTCTCCAAGTCGTGTCCACGGCTGGAGTTAGCAGTCTATTGGAGAATGTGCTTGGACTCTCTGTCAGCACAAGGTCGGGAGGCGCCGGTCCTTTCTTCAGCCCTTGGATGATGAGATTAATGTAGTCGATGTCAGAGTCGTTTGGGTCGGTCAACGCGTCTGCCCTGGCCCAGAACGTAAAAGTATAATCAGTAAATGGGCGCATCAAGCCGGTAGCGAAGAGATAGACGTTGCGGGAAGTGAAGTCGCCTGGGGCCTCCGGTGTGAAAGTTACGCGGAAGAGATTAGGAGGTGAATGCGCAAGCGACGGGTTAGATATAATGGAATAGTTGTTGACATTGTAGGTTCGCCCAACATATATGGCCTGGCTATCACTTTCGAAGTTCACGCTGAGTGCCGTTGGAGATGGGGCGAGTGGCAGAGTAGTACACTGGGTTATGCTGGCCTTGGTTGCGAGGGTAGTGGCTCCAGATGGATAAAGACAGGAACAAGCAGATGATAAACGAGTAACTCCACACGACGACTGGATGGAATTGAGACTTGCTGTAGTAGGAGTGGCTCCAGATTGAGGTGGTGCAGTGAATGATGCGCAGAATGCAGTGGATTGGACAAGATTGCGGTAACAATTGTCTTGGTTACACCCCGTTTGAGTACAAACAGTTGTGGACGACTGCGCACGAACTGATGGCGTTGCCACAATGAAAGCGAGGAGGAAATGGCTAATCGACAGCATTTTGTTTGACTGATGCTTGAAAGCCCAATAGCAGGTTTTAGATCACTGCCTATTGTCACTAGAAACACTATTAACAAGGGGTTAGATAGAGAGGTTCCATCATCTGCCTTTATAGTGCCGAATTCCTGCCTGCCTGCCTCCTGTTAATGAGGGTTTGGCAAAATGTTTTCAGCTGATAGCACCTATAGTTCTCAGCTATTAGAGTTAGTGGCGTGTCAGTCGTGCGCTTACATGATCGAACACGAGCTGTGGCTCTTCAGCTCCAATGCAGGGGGCCGGCATAGAACAGTAAAACATACCACTACAAGTGAAACGATAGTGCTTAGGCTACTTGTATTGGGCTGATGTTGCTCCGTCTTATGTTGAGAGTCGATCTGAAAGAATGTCGTTAAGAAGTTGGAGAAGCTAACAAGATCAACAAGGGGGTGATTGATTGCTTCAGGGCAGGTTGTTGTAGAGACACGTCGGCCAAAGTATATTTACGGACGTATAAACGAACAAGGTATAGTATTAGTACTTGAGAAGCCATGAATCCTAATCCGGCATTTTCGTATTCGTCAGTTGTAATAGCTTCTGATTGTACCCTACGATGGCTAGCGGAGTCAACTAAGGTACAAATCGCTTTCATGTGATGCCATTTAGCAGATTTCCCAGCGACACTTTTTTGTGTTATTGGTTGCCTGTCATTATCATCTATCTTATCAGTATCATAGCTAATAACTGGTATCATGTCCCTGCTACTCAATTTTCTAAGAGTGAACTTGCATGCAAAAGAAATGAAGAAATGGGTTGGCGGGGTGTCTTTGGATGAACGGCCCAACCAAATCGCAAGCTAGGTGGATTACGGCTTCAGTAATATTTACTAGTCGAAAGTTTGAGGCGACCCAAAAAGAATAGTGATAAATAGGTCAAAAGGCCTAAGTTCCAATAGTTATTAAATGTGTTCCGGTATAATTAATTAAGAGGAACGATACCTCCTGATGTGGCAAGGGCTACCAGAACGTATATTACAGTTGACTCGATAGCAGCTATGGATGCCATTATCGAAGTATGTGAGGAATTTTCTGTTCGGATAGTTTTAGAGGCCTCTAGGATGAATGGGAAAAAATGGAACGAGAGGAAAAGATGGCATGAAAGGTGTAGGGAAAAACTAGGCCATGAGTTTTGTACTTGCAGCCAACAACAGGTGTGCTCACATAAGTGCTCATTAGGAAAGCTTTGGAGAGGGTAAGAGTCGTAATTCAAGTAAGCACTCTGCCTTGATGTAAGCATTAAGAAATTCTAATCCACAATTGGTATTTGGGTATGTTATATGATAACATCCCCTGACTAGCTCTGTGAGTTCAAGACCCTAATTAGTTAAGAGGTTTGAAGACAAGGTCAAGATCCCCAGGAATAGCTACAAACGCATCTACAGCATCCCAGACCACACCATCATGAGCTTTTTTTACCAGGAGCAAATGTAAATGTGAAATTGGCAAGAATCATGACGGCAACTATGCGGATCTCAAATAACCCCAGCTGTTTTCCAGGGCAAGAGTGACGCCCTAGTATCGTATCAGTGGTAGATTTCGAGGGAGAGCGACTGAAAAAGGGGCCATACCCATCGAAAAGGGGTTAAAGGCACGGGTGTCCTGTACCATATGGGGCATTGTAGTCCATCTCTCGGGTATGAACTCCGTGGCTTTCTCAAATGCCGACTCCACTAATTATCAGTCTGCGTTAGCATGATGAACCGCGGAATATATGAGAAACTGTCTGAAAACACATAGTAAATCGGATGTGAGGCAGTAGTACATCTTCCAATAGACCACCTGGGGGCTACCACAACCGTGTCTGGGGGTATCCAATGATTTCCTATTTGAATTCGCGTGCTAGTTGTCTGTCGGGCACCACCTGAAGGTATAGATGGATACAGTCTCATGGTCTCATTGATGCAAGCGTCCATCAAGACTAAATTTCCAAGCCTCTCCGCAGCGACCCCTTCTGTCAGCACACGCTCTTCATCATTGAGAAGTGTGATGATTCCTGCAGTTTTGATCTCGTCCCGTAGCTGCATCTGAAGTTCTGGTCTCGGTGCAAGTGCATAAAATAGCATGGTAAGGATTGACGACGTGGAGTGGCTACCGCCAATAGCTATGGCAAAGGTGTCACCGCAAAGGGATAGACGCTCAATCGCCTTGTTATCGCCATCACAGATGGCCGAATGGATAAAATGCCCTAAAGCTGTCTTTTACCTTAAGTTTTGAGCGTCACAAAGAGTTGCGTTCATTTTCAGCTGCTCATCGCATATGTCTTCCACCCATGTGAGAATCCGAGTGAGCCTGAGATTGCTTGTATCTGACTACTGCCCTCATTGTGCGACTGTGGATACGTACTGGAGTTAAGGATACCAAGGGCTTCATCCCAGCGTTTTCGCTGTATGCCGTACCCTTCCTTTGTCCGGATTGATGGTATAGAAACATATGGCATCATAAGATCGTACCAGGGAGACTTTATACAAGTCGCTCCAACTCCACTCATTGCTTTCCATACAGCTGGGTCCACAATAGTGAGTTCTTGGGGTCCTATAATACGTTAGCTTATGATCTCAGGTGATAGAGCTTGGGATACTGCTATTGACTGCTACTTGTATCATTGAATGCCAAAGCAAGGAAGCTGTTTATCAAATGAAGTCTGGTCTCTGCATAGCATCATACATATTATTGACGTGTGAAAAACCAATATCCACACATACCTGTGCGTACGACACTACCGTAAGTATGGTAGAGGTCGTCAAAAATAAGTAATTTGGCGTGCTAAATATATGAAATAAATGCCATAATTTTGACACCGCTGCCAAACGGGGACCCGGGAAATGTCTCAAAGGATGTTCCCGGAGACGATAAGCCACAATGCTGGTAAATAATGAGCAAACGTAGGAGCTGTTCAGGAGGAGAAGAGTCCTGGGGATGGATATGTGGTTAATTTCACTTCCATTCCATTTCCCTATTTGGTGGGCAAAGCTAAACACGCCTGCAATCGACAGCATAAAAATGAGCCAAATTTTGAGATAAGTCATAGAATAGAGATGATGTTCGCCGTAGATGAAGGATACCCTATGGGATACAACACCCAATAGGCTCGCGATGATGACAGTATACATCAGTAACATGACATAAAATGGGCATGAGAAAATTATGATAAATAGAGGTGTCACAATCATGAACAGAGGAGAAGTAGGATAGTTAATATGCGCGGACTATAGTTATATTAATACTACACGCTCAACACATAGTGCCCGTGTTGAGTCAACGACTCCGATATTTTCACAGCCTAGAAACTCATACAACTCTTATGTGGCCTTACTTCTGAGCTGTACATATCCTGGTGTCGTGTATACTTCACCGGAATCTAGCGATAGTAGTCTAGCCATTCATCGCGCTACAACAAAGTCCTAGTGGCGCATTAAGGGAGAAGCATGATGTTGGATACGCCCGTCTTATCGTTGGTGAAGGTGCGTCCTGCCACAATTACTGTTAGCTCAGAAATAGCTATACACAGGGCTTATCTACGCATCTTGGGGACACAACGGGAACTTTACAAGTTACCACCTGACCTGATAACCCCCACGATAGTACACCGAAAGTTTGTTTTGAAGCGGTCTGCTTTAGTGATGATCCATAATTACAGCCTCATAGCGAGCCCTATTATTATCCCTTGCTTTGTCCTGTTAGCGCCACAACAACAATTAGTATCTGACATAGAAAGACCTATACCCGCAGTAAAAGATAAGCTCTGAGACAATTCCCGACAGACTGGATACCGTTATCTCGGCGATCTCGAACATCGCCGATGGTTTTCGAGATATCACTGCGAGAGAGATGGCATGGTGTAAACTTCGATACCTGTTGGATCAGGTAGAGGGTTAGCCGTAGCAATAATTTCGGGACTCTCACATATATCAGGACTGCAGATCTTCAAGGCCCTATCTTCCTTAAGGGGGTAAATTACGGCCTTTAGATATGCCCCGCCATGACAGTGAAGCCTCGCTTAGCTGTTTCAGTTGCTTCTAGGGTCATGTAATCTGCCTTCTATCATCATAGCTCTGATGAGCCAATCATTATGCAGTAAGTTTCTCCATGTCGCGAATTAGACATTGGATAAAGAGCCTTCTATTCAAGCTCATAGAGACTATCATTAAATGAGATACGTGTGAGAAATCTAAAGAATCTATCCTAAACAAAATGGGCACTGCTAGGCTATTGAGCTGGTATAGTTGAGCCGCTATGCGTAAGCAGAATCTTATAGCTAGAAGACAGCTAGCCAGATATGTTCATATAACACGAGATCAGGCATGAGGTCTTGTGCGAGTAATTCTTCCATATCAATGTTTGGACGTAGAATAGGGAGCCGTACCCTTGATCAATTAAACTTTAAAAAGTAAAAGCTCCCCCGGAAAGGCTTGAACTTTCCACCTCCTGGTTAACAGTCACCATAGAAATGATTAGATTAAATTATCATAGTGTTAGATTCTTAGCTTACGATGCGTTAGCCAATTGCGCTGCGGAGGATTAAGGAAGCCACTAGAGCTTTGATTGGCATATATTTCTGACGACTACCCTTATTAAGCGAAGTGTAGAAGCCTTACAATGATCTTACTATGGGTTTTCGTTCTTTAGGATGTATAGGAAATTCTATATGTATAGCAAATGAAAACCCTTACTTAAGTTCTTATAGGAACTCCACAGATAGTGATAATAACAGGCTATATTTAGTAATAGGTACAATCTAACGAGCCTTCTCGGTCGAGTGAGCAGTGAATCATCGATATGGTATTTCGACGGTGAAGCGAGAGTCTATGAAGTCTTCTTATTCTTTCAAAATACCGGTTTGATCCCTTTATATGAGCATCGAGGCGTCGTCATTAGCGTACGAATCTATGATAGATGAGAGTAAGGGAGTTTGTTCTTATGGCCCTGATTTATTATAGGTATTAGGAATTACAGCAAACCCCTGTTACTACCTGCAGGGGCAAGTTATAAAGTTCCAGACAGATTAAATATTTCCATAAATAATTTATACGCTTTAATATACTTGTGGGTTTATCGCTAGTCGCCTTAGACTTTCTTCGAGTTGGCTGGACTTTAGGAGAAAGCCGTCAGGTTGCAAGGGCGCGCTTGATGAATGAGGAATATATATGATCGTTAAACTGGGACAATATTTCGTAAGTTTATGCTTTCCGTGGCAGCGGACATGATGCCTTATTGTCGATATCATCCGTGAGATTCATGGTATACAAGAAGCTATGCATTTAAAACTCGGGGGAATATATGGTCTAGCTATCGATTTTATAGCTGATCTACCAGCACTCAAGATCCTAGACTACTATAAGGCTCCTGAGAGTAAAAACAGGTTACCTAGCTTCGAGGCTTCTTGTTTAAGGCCTGAAGCTGAGCTCACTCTAATAAGCTTAAGTATCATAAAGCGGGGGCTGCAAGATCAAAGGGGTTGATGTGGCTAGCTTATGGCTAGTTCTGTGTGCTAAACTAGCTTCTTGGACAAGTGGCGCCTGCCTCAACTTCCAAAGCATACCTCTCTATATGTACTCAGTAAGGTCAACTTTTTAAATGGCTCAAAGAAGCTGTATAACCATATGCACATATATGCATGTAGTACCTGATAATTAGTACCTCAGGTATGGATACCTAGGTACCTGAGCTAGGTATAGGTTGCAACTAACCCACCGAAGTAGAACAGACCACCTTGAATATCTTCAGCTACTACATCAGCTGTAATGTGCTAAGATTCAATGCATGAGAGAAACAAACAAGACTTCAACTTCTGCTCAAGGATCTCTAGAATACCCTCACCTAGGTCCCTTTGATTGATCGATTTATGGTGTTTAACGTCGTAGGGACTATTCTGTGTTGCAGTTAGTCCGGGCCTCTGCAAGAGCACTGGGACGTGGCCAGCGCTGCACACAGTCAAAACAAGTCAAGCAATTTGTCTTTATCTTGTTTTCTCTGATTTGAGCCCATTTTTGGCCTTATTTGACCTACTTGGC